ATTCATAGTTTAATAAATAGTTCACTAGCAATGACCACGCTACAATGATATAAGTCCAAGCTTAGTCCGATCCAGACTATATCTGAAATGAAGTGAGATCAGAGAAAGGTGGAGGTAGAGAGGTAGTAGAAGCGTTGATGTTAAAGAGAGAGGGAGGGAGGGTGGGTCAGAGAATTGCAGACAAACGGAGTGTGGTGGGCTGGCTGTGTATAAATATGCTAGTCATCTGATTGAAGGTGTGGTGAAGCGTGGTCCTACTCCTGAACCTTAGTTATTACATTAACTTCATTTCACTAGCAATGACCACGCCACAACGATATAAGTTTGAATATTTAATACAAATTCAGGAGTGTGTATATCTTGTCTGATGAGTGTATGTTGTGATGTATAATGATGTTGATGAGAAGTATCGCATGGCTGGTTGGTCTGGGAGGTTCTGTAGAGGCCTGGCAGTGAGAGACTCAGGATGGGGGTTCCATCTAAGGCGTAGCTCTGCCCAAGCTTGGTCTGACCCCCAAAGAGTTATAATGAAAGGGAGCTTAATTTAGTGTGGGCCTGACACAGATTGTTGAGATTTTTTTGAATGTAGCAGAGGCGTATCATCTCAGGCATACCTGAATTGTTCGATCTGTTATGCCAAGCCTGGCTGCTGTGGATTCTGCGCCGATGCGGAATGAATGGGCTGAGTACTGCTCTGATGTTATGCCTGACATGAGGAGGACTTGATGGAACCAGAATCGCGTAGCCATTTTTTTGTTTTCAGTAAGGAATAGAGAGTCGTGAGGTGATGCTTGTGCTGCATACCTGGAGCTGATGTATTTGGTGAGTGGTTTGAATGGACTGAGGTAAGAATTTAAACGGAAGATGAAAATTGGGAAAGAGATGCGGAGCTGATCTGTTTTGCTACGTCGGAGCGTGAATATGAGAGAATCTGAAGTGTGAACTGCCATGTCAGATAGTCAGGGATGATAGGATGGATTGAAGACATAAGAGGTCGGAGCGAATTTGGAGTATCTGAGGAAACCAATGAAGGCAAGCAGGAACACTGATTCTAGTGGAGAATCAACTGTTGGAAATGAGTAGCCTGAACGTAGGGTATGAATGCAGAGGCTGAGTAAGTTGGAGGTGACATGTAGGCTCTTAATGGAGATAGTAGGTTCCAGTTTTCTTAAACCCTTGATTAACATGGTGACATGCATTGAGAGCCAGTGATGAGTTTGAGGAAGAAATTGATGCCAGCAAGGTAGGTTTCAATGGTCGAGGATCAGATATTTTGGATGGTGTGAGTATGAGTTATGAAACTGCAGATGGATACGATGTCCAGAGATTGGAAGGGCAGCTGGTATGCGGAGTGGTAGGACTTGAAGCAGTTCCAGCCTGTCAGGTAAGCAGATAGGGTGCTGGGAGCAAGACTGTCGAGAATTGCATCTTGTGAGGCATGAGTGAGGTTTATTAGCTGGGGAGTTAATTGAATGTTGTGGCTGAAAATGGTGGGACTGGTGAAGGATGCGGATCGGACTCTGGTGCCAGATGTCTCAATTTCTGAGAGGAGAAATGAGACAGAGCGTCAGCAATGGTGTTCCGGTAACTGGGAGATTAGTGTGAGTCTGCGCAGAAACTGCATGATTGACGGGGAATGAGATCTGCCTTTGTTCAGGATTTCTACGACTGCTGTGTTATCTGAGTGTATGAGTATAGATTTTCTTGACCATTCTTGCCCCCAAAGTAAGGCTGCAATGATGATGGGGTAGAGTTCATGAAGGGCTGATGAAGGAGACTGGGATTTCGAGTCGAGATCTTTTCGTTCAGGAGGCCAGGTGGAAGCAAACCATCTCCCCCTGTAGTAGCCTCCGAAACCTATAGAGGGAGCTGCGTGTGTGAACAGTTGAATGTCTTCTGATTGGGTTATGAAATCGTCATAGAAGAAAGAAATGCCATTCCAAGAGGACAAGAAATGTTGCCACATGTTCATCTCCATTTTGCATGCTTCATCCAAGACCACTCTGTCGTGCAAGGAGGGTATGGCTGCAGCTTTTGTTAGGAAATTGGAAAGGAAAGATTTTGCCTGAGGGATGATTCAGATGGCATAGTTGAGGTGACCGAGGAGGGCCGGTAACTGGCGTTTGGTGCGTCTATCTGCTAGGAGATAGTTAGAGAGGAGAAGGGTGATGCGCTGTATCTATTCCTGAGGTAGAGATACTTGGAGGGAAACTGAATCTAGAGTAATACCTGAAAACTCCATTGAGGTGCTAGGCCCTGAAGTTTTTTCTTTTGAAAGAGGTACACCCAACTCTGAAAAGCAGTCTGTAAGGGTGGTGAGTCCGAACTTGGCTGGGGATGATGGTGGAGTGACGATGAGAAAGTCATCTAGGAGGTGCAGAATGAATGGGAGTCTGTGATTGTTTGTGAGAATCCAGCAAAGTGCTTCTGAGAGGAAATCGAAGATCTTAAGGCTGCTTCTGCAACCGAAAGTGAGGCACACTGCACTGCGAGGCGGATGAGATTGATGGCATGATTGATTGATGCATATTGCATTGAGAAATCAGGGCATGGGATGTCGCTGTTGATGCTGGGGATTTGTGATGCATGGGGAGAGGAGAGGTCTTTTTCATCCTCTTTTTGCCAGAGTATTTTTGGGTGGCTATGCCGATAGGGCTGACCCGAAACACAGGGAAAGGTGGTTCTTTAAATGGGCCTATCATGAATCCCTCTTTGACCTCTTTTGCTAGCAAGGAATTAACAGTGTTGGGAGCAGACTGAAGGTTTTGGCAGGTATATGAAGTGTCGGGGAGAATGTCTTTGCCTGGATGAAAACCGTGAGTGAAGCCATTAAGAAGGAAGTTGACAAACTCTCTGTCTGGGTGATTTTTTGGAGCTACAGCTAGAGCGTTTACCTTAATGGGTGAGCTGAGGTGCTGTGTTAGTTAGTTAGCTGGCGGGCGTAGTTGGGTTGTGTGGGCCAGTGCACCTGGCATGAGCACCCCCGCAGAAGGAGAAGACGTGTAGGAAGCGACAGGTGGAGAGGGTGCAGCCAAGGTGGTTGAAGTTATTGCAAACCATCTTTTCAGCTTGGTATAGGATGGGCCTTCCTATCTTGTCAACTCCTTTTGGCATGGGAACATGTACAGTGGGTCGAATGTCTAGGGCTTAGGTATGATTGGAGGTGGAGGTGCAGCAGGTGACAAGTGGTTAAAGACTGTGGTGTTGTGAGAGGAAGATGAGCATGGACAGTGTGGTGGAGCACTGACAATGCATGCTGTGGCAGGGTGGGAGGGGGCTCCACATAGCTCACAAGAGAGGGAGGTGCGGGCGGCAAAGATTCAGCAATACAATTCGGAGTAGAGTGTGCCCCAGTATGTGTTCTGATTGAACTGCTGGATGCGGCCGGCTGCCTGGTTAGCAAAGTGCACGTGGTAGCTGTAAAAGCCTGTGCTGCCAAAATGCAGGGCCATGTCTAGGATTATGGAAAGGCAATAAATGAGCTCGGACCTGCGAGATGGAAAAACTGAACAGATGGTGTCACGGAATAGTGAAAATGCTAAGGCAAATTCTGCTGGTGTTAGGTCTTTTGACCTGGATGGAAGTGGGTCGCGGAGCTGAACTGGACTGAAAATGGTTTGCATCTCCCTAGGCTGTCTTGTGTCAGTTGTGAATGGGTGGAGTAGCTGAGCAAGATCGACATAATTACCAGAGAGAATTTGTTGGCGTAGTGATTGTGAAACGGGTGAAGGACGGTTGATGGATGAGACTGGTTGAATAGGTGGAGCGGCAGTGGCTAGTGTGTAATTATGTACAGGAGGTGGAAATACATTTGGGTGTTGGGGAAGGGAGGGGTTGGAAATCGGGAGGGAGGGTTCAGAGGATAGATCAGTAGGAAACGGAGGGGGTTGGGACCAGAAGGCAGACACACATTACACGGTTTTAAAATCACTGCATTGACTCCCTGTGTGCTTTAGGATTGATTTTAAGGTCCTTTTAATGGTTTTTAAATGTCTTAGGGGTCTTGGACCTTCTTCTCCTTCAGAATTGCTGTTACAGATGAGCCCTCGCGGATCCTGAGATCCTCTGGCACTGGCCTTTTAATAGTCCCCAGAGTGAGAACACGAACTTACGGTGAGGCATCTTTCCAGCACTATGGCCCCCGTCTTTGGAATAGCATGCTGGAGGACCTTAGGGCCGGAGAGAATGTTCATATTTTTAAAAGCAGGCTCAAGAACCACCTATTTAATTTGGCTTTTAACTAATGTCTTATTTGTAATCTATATCTTTGTCCTATTTTTTATCTTATTTTATTTCATTTATATAAATATATATATATATATATGTATATACACACGCCTGTAGCGGGGTGCGCATCCGGGTGGGGGCTCTCAATGAGGGTTGGGGGGGTGGGGGGGTGGGCTGGATATGGGGGGCCCATTGTAAAGCACTTTGTGCTGCATTTCTTTTTGCCTGAAAAGTGCTGTATAAATAAAGTTTGATTTGATTTGAGAATAGCCAATGTTGTGAATTGCTGGAGGGGCTCCTTGAAGAGCTGAGAAACTGGCTATGGTGGGAAGAGGGGGAACAGAGGCTGTATTGTTGTTTGAGGCTGAAGGAGGAGAGCAGAAAGGGAAGTTGGGATGAAAGGATGTGTGTGCACGGAGATTTGGTAAAGAAAAACTGTGATAGCTTGAGAGAAGTCAGACACAGAGGGAGCAGGCAAAGGGGGTCATACGACCTGGTCCCCACAAGTGTGTGTGTGTGTGTGTGTGTGTGTGGGGGGGGGTGATGAGGCGGGCTGTGGTTGAGGAAGCTGCTCTGTGACGTCACTCCTGATGTTACTGGCGGTGATTGGCTCAGACGGGGAAGCAGGATTTATGGCAGCTGCAGCTGCGGTGTTTGTGGAGGAATTGCAGAGCAGGAATAGCCTTGCTTTATTGTTGTTGGGGTGGAATGGGATGCCTCTTGCTTTCAGGGACCGACAGAGGCGGGCAACGGTCCAGTTGCTGATGTTGCCCTCATTTCGGAGGAGTCTGCCGTCTTGGCGAAGCTTCGCTGCAGCGTGTTGAATTGCCTGTGGCTGAGCAGTGAGAGTAGCGTAATGGGGAGCGGAGTAGGTTGCTGTAATTGTAGCTCCTATGGTCTGCGGATCTTCTTGGTGGAGATGAGGCTGACAATCTGTCGGGAGTCATTGAGATGATGTTCGGGGAGCGTGAATGTGAACGGCGTGGTTGTGGGATGCTAACCACGGAGTGCAAGTGGCTCTGCCGTGGTGCTTGGGTGTGGTCCGATTCCTGATCACCGGGTGAAGGATGATTAACCTGGAAAAGTTCGTCATACAGATTCTCATCCGAGTCATGCAACTGGAGTTTCATGTAAGTGGCTGAATTTTACCGTTTCTTTAAATGCGAGCGAGCGTTACTGCTTGGCGCACAGTCTGGCTTTGTTCCTCAGAGAATTGCAGCCAAACGGAGTGTAGTGGGCTGGATGTGTATAAATATGCTAGTCAGGTGATTGAAGGTGTGGTGAGGCATGGTCCTGCTCCTGAACCTTAGTTACCTCATTAACTTCATCTACTGTTTCACATAATTCATCCTTTGAATCAAATTATTCTCTCTAACAAAACAGAAAAATACCATCTTGTACAGCTATATGGCCTCCTATCTCAGGTGATGGACCTGTGTTATCTGCCTTCTTGTGACAGAATCGGACAGCTTCTTCTGGCATTAAAACCAGAACTATTTATCAGGCTGACACCCTAGTGGCATATCCTGATGGAACAAGTCAAGCAAGTGTTCTTCAGGAAGACTGAAAGAGAGGGGATGGATCTTAAGCATGCATGAGCACCAGGCTCTGACCTGTTTGGCACTCTGCCTTGTTGGCAACCCTGTCAAGAATATGGACATTTGGCCTGTTTCATCTACATTAGAGATGTCTGTGCAGCCTGTCTTTTCCAAGTAAATTTAGAACTTGAGTTAAAGCTTGTAACATCAGCCAAGGCTCGTGACTCTGGGACATAGACTGTATATAATGTGAACAACTTGGTTCTGCCCTCTGCCACTATACGAATTTGAAGCCGAAAAGCTCTCAGTAATTCTGCATTTTTCTCCACATCCTGAAACCAACATTGCGAAGAAGCACTTCACCACTTGCGCAGTAGCATTGTGCGCATTTGGCAGGAGCGTCGCCGAGAGTCGTTGTGATGACGCTCAACTCAAACAGCGTATCCCCTGGTGAGCGACGCAATCTTTGTACGCTTATGGGTTGTATCAAGTGTCAATCCTAGAAAACCTGAACCCCCTAATAACTTTTAAAATGGAGCTGTACGGAACAAAGAGGAATTGAGCACAAATTAGTCTTATAATAAAACATGTCAACATCACAAGCAAGGGGGAGAAACATTTAAGGATGGCTTGAGGAGGCAGGATTTATGACCTATACTGCAGCCCATCATCACAGTGTGCTGTTCTCAGGGTGGCGTCACCCAGCGAGGAGGCAGACGCTGTCCATTCTGTATACAGTCTACGCTTTGGGAGAACAAAATGAGGTCTTATCTTGTGCCGCCTTCCAGCAGGGCATCCATAAAGCTTACAACTGGCGGTAGCCCGGCAAAGAGTGTCAGGCCTTGCTAAGACTAGACATAGAGATAAGAGAGGATTTAATTTTTTTTTTTGTCCCTTTTTCTATACAACTTTTATTAATGGAGATGGACAATACCATCTTTCTGCTATAACTAAAAGTATCACTATGACTAAATAAAAAAAATGTCATAACTATGAAAAATAAGCAAAGTACATGAGAAAATATTTGATTATCTATCCAGTCTAGTTTTGTGACACAAACCAATACATGTCTCCTTCATAGTTACACTCCTTAAAGTGCCCAGTAAAAGCCTTTACAAAGACTAGACTTAGCATTATAACTGACCTTAAATCCTCACTTTGGTGAGCACGTTATGCCAATTCTTAGATTGTCATGACCCGGCTCAAAGGCCATGAAAAAGATTGCGAGGCGTACGGGTTTAAACTTAAAACGAAAGATTTATTGACAACCAAGATTAATTAAATTATTGACAACCCAAGAAAAGAACTAAACTAACAGAACTTCTAAACTAAAACAGAATATTGTGCCACGAGGATCACTGCCGTGGTGCGCAGCGGAGGAGGGAGAGAGAGACACTGGTCCTTAATGAGGGCTTTTAACACCTGGTGGAATGGCCAGATCCACGCAGGTGTGGCTAAGCCCACTCACCAACCTGCCAGGGATAGAGAAAAGACAAAAGAACAACAGCAAACCCTGGAGGCCATCACAGGCAGGAGGCCATCACACTAACCCTCTGAACGTCTGACACTGATAATCCTATTTTCTCCAGTAATAAACTATGTTGTAGTCAGTCTAACCATTGTAAGGTATTATAAATATATATATATATATACACTCACCGGCCACTTTATTAGGTACACCTGTCCAACTGCTCGTTAACACTTAATTTCTAATCAGCCAATCACATGGCGGCAACTTAGTGCATTTAGGCATGTAGACATGGTCAAGACAATCTCCTGCAGTTCAAACCGAGCATCAGTATGGGGAAGAAAGGTGATTTGAGTGACTTTGAACGTGGCATGGTTGTTGGTGCCAGAAGGGCTGGTCTGAGTATTTCAGAAACTGCTGATCTACTGGGATTTTCACGCACAACCATCTCTAGGGTTTACAGAGAATGGTCCGAAAAAGAAAAAATATCCAGTGAGCGGCAGTTCTGTGGGCGGAAATGCCTTGTTGATGCCAGAGGTCAGAGGAGAATGGCCAGACTGGTTCGAGCTGATAGAAAGGCAACAGTGACTCAAATAACCACCCGTTACAACCAAGGTAGGCAGAAGAGCATCTCTGAACGCACAGTACGTCGAACTTTGAGGCAGATGGGCTACAGCAGCAGAAGACCACACCGGGTGCCACTCCTTTCAGCTAAGAACATGAAACTGAGGCTACAATTTGCACAAGCTCATCGAAATTGGACAATAGAAGATTGGAAAAACGTTGCCTGGTCTGATGAGTCTCGATTTCATTCGGATGGTAGGGTCAGAATTTGGCGTCGACAACATGAAAGCATGGATCCATCCTGCCTTGTATCAATGGTGGTGGTGGTGTCATGGTGTGGGGAATATTTTCTTGGCACTCTTTGGGCCCCTTGGTACCAATTGAGCATCGTTGCAACGCCACAGCCTACCTGAGTATTGTTGCTGACCATGTCCATCCCTTTATGACCACAATGTACCCAACTTCTGATGGCTACTTTCAGCAGGATAATGTGCCATGTCATAAAGCTTGAATCATCTCAGACTGGTTTCTTGAACATGACAATGAGTTCACTGTACTCAAATGGCCTCCACAGTCACCAGATCTCAATCCAATAGAGCATCTTTGGGATGTGGTGGAACGGGAGATTCGCATCACGGATGTGCAGCCGCCAAATCTGCGGCAACTGTGTGATGCCATCATGTCAATATGGACCAAGCTCTCTGAGGAATGCTTCCAGCACCTTGTTGAATCTATGCCACGAAGAATTGAGGCAGTTCTGAAGGCAAAAGGGGGTCCAACCCGTTACTAGCATGGTGTACCTAATAAAGTGGCCGGTGAGTGTATATCCTATCTGATGAGCGCGTTTGGCACACATTTGGACACTCCACCTTACCCCCCAAGACTGGCAAGATGGCGCCTGTGACTGGCAGTGCCACGGCTCGTCTCCTGCTGAATAGTTTTATATTGGCTATCTTTACAGCATATGTGATCATATCAGCCCGTATATCAAATGGATGTGTCTCAGCTATACGGATCTATGATCGGGACTCTCTGTTTCGTATTAAAGAGTCAATGAAGGGCCTGTTTGATACATGGGGAGATCAAGGAAAAGAGGCTCGCGTTCTGGAGTCCAGGTCAAACGAAGACGCGCTGCAGCTCGCATGGAATCTGTCTTCCGCGGCCATGGAGAACGAGCAAGGTGTTTACGCCGGATCCCTCTCCTCAATGTGTGTGACAGCACACCCACGCTGCCACCTGCCTGGACCACAAGGACAGTTTTTGAGCCTACACAGCGCTGGAGTATTGGTCAGTGGCTTTCATCGTGTCCACGCTCTTCTGTGTTTACGCCGGTCCCTCCTGCACTGTCCAGCTGGAGCCGACGTGACCGCTGGTCTTGCCTTCGACCAATCCCGCTGCGTTCCGCAGACACTGCCTCCGTGACGTCATCAACTTTGCATATTGGCCTGTTGAATGTCCGATCTATTGCAAATAAATCATTCTCTCTGAACGATCTTTTCAAGAGGGAAAAGCTGGATTTAATGTGTCTCTCTGAGACATGGCAGAGAGAGGAAGAGTTTATTCATCTAAATGAACTTTGTCCATCTGACTGCTCTGCTGTCGGGAAGCCCCGCCCCGGTCGTCGTGGGGGGGGTCTGGCTGTTGTATACAGGGACAGTTTCGCCTGCAAAGTGAGTCAGACCCAGGATTTTACTTCTTTTGAGTCCCAGATGGTCATGGTGGGTTCTTCAAATCCATTCTACTGTGTGCTAATCTACTGTCCCCCTGGTCCTGAGCTGACAGCAATGCATTCTTGAGATTTTTCATTGACAAAATTAAGATGATCAAGGAGAAAATCCCCCCTTCTTTTTTGTGTGGAACTCATGCTGTCATTGAGCCTGCCTCCAGCTTGTGGTCCTCATTTAGGTCTGTGGCTCTTACTGATATCTCGGCACTGGTGACCAAGATGAAACCCTCCTCTTGCTCATCTGATGCCCTTCCGTATAGGCTTTTTGTGAAAATGCTTGATGTAACTGGCCCCTGGGTGACCAAAATGGTTAACCTTTCTCTTTCTACGGGTGTGTTTCCCAATAGCTTTAAGCATGCCATAGTGGAGCCTTTACTTAAAAAGACAGGCTTAGACCCGACTGTCTTAAGTCATTTCAGGCCTATTTCTAAGCTGCCATTCTTGTCAAAGATCCTAGAGAAAGTGGTCGCTGAACAGCTGTCATTTTTCCTGGATCAATGTAACATCCATGAGACGTTTCAGTCTGGCTTTCGCAAACATCACTCTACGGAGACAGCCTTGTTGAAAGTGTCCAATGACATTATGATGTCTGCTGATTCAGGAAAATACACTGTTCTAGTTCTCTTAGATCTGTCCTCAGCCTTTGACACTGTTGACCACCAGATCCTGCTGAGAAGACCGAGGGATGAAGTAGGACTGTCAGGATCAGTTCTACATTGGTTCTCGTCATACCTCTCTGGGCGTAGCTTTAGTGTGACAGCAAACCAAATTAGTTCTGAGTCAGCAGATCTGCTGTGTGGAGTCCCCCAAGGCTCAGTTTTGGGTCCTGTACTATTTCTGTTATATTTGATCCCCTTGGGAAAAATCATCCGCAGATTTTCTGATGTTTCCTACCACATTTTTGCTGATGATATCCAGTTGTACTGTTCTTTCAAGCCTACTGAGCTCCATAGGCTAAATTCCTTACTCCACTGCTTGGCAGAGATTAAAAAATGGCTAAGTGATAACACCTTGCAGCTAAATGTGGACAAAACAGAAACACTGATTATTGCCCCTGATGACTCCATTCCAGGGATTAGTCAGTACTTAGGCTCGGTTAAACAGACCGGCCCAAGTCGCCTAAGAAACCTGGGTGTTGTTTTCGACAAAGACATGTCATTAATGCAACACTGTAATCAGCTGACCAAAAATTGCTTTTTCCAACTTAGGAACATCTCCAAACTTAGAAAAATGGTGTCACATAATGATTTGGAACTGATCATTCATGCATTTGTGTCTTCACGTTTAGACTATTGTAACAGTTTGTTTTCCTGTATGAACAAAAAGGAGCTGTCTCGCCTGCAGTTAGTAAAAAACTCTGCAGCCAGAATTCTGACCCACTCCAATAGGAGGTCACACATATCCCCGATTCTTCAGACCCTTCATTGGCTGCCTGTTTCTTTTAGGATAAATTTTAAAATTCTGGTTTTAACTTTCAGAGCCTTGCATGGTCAGGCTCCATCTTACATCAATGACCTGATCCAGCCTTACACCCCAGCCCGGGCTCTGAGGTCTGTGGGTCAGAATCTTCTGATGGTGCCTCACACGCGTTTCCGGACCAGAGGAGACCGATCCTTCCAGGCTGTTGCTCCCAAGCTCTGGAACGATCTTCCGCCTGCTCTGCGCTCGATGGAGTCTGTTGACTCCTTCAAAAGGGAACTAAAGACCTTTCTATTTGTTCAGGCTTTTCCCTAACTGTCTTTGGGCTGCTATGGTTGCTATAGTGTTGTTTTGGCCTTTTAAAATTTTAGCTTTGTATGTACCTATTTACTGTGTACTGTTTTTGTTTTTTGCCTCTACTGTAAAGCGCTTTGTGACCTTGGTCTGTGAAAGGCGCTGTATAAATAAAGTTTACTTACTTACTTACTACTGAATTAACACAGCTTAAACCGCATTAAAGAGGACATGAAACACTGACCCAAGTTATCATTATTTTTAAGAATGCCTTTGGACTTCACAAATCACTGTATTCATGACTCTCAAAATGTAATACATTTCTAGAAAACCACAACAGAAGTTCCACTTTAGCAACACTGCGGGGAACCATAAAGCAGAGCCACTTCGCGGGACGTAATAAGTTGTATAGCCCGTGTATTGACAATTGAATGAGAGCAGATTAGGATGGCTGAAATGGTGATATCGAGAGCCAAAGATGAGTAAACTCACTAGAGGAGGGGTACTTTGTTTTGCGCCAGGCTGCTCAAACCAATTTTACTACATAAGAAATTAAAGAAAACATTGCATTTTTATCATTTGCCACTGAAACGGCTGGTGATTATCCGATGCTGGCTAGCAGCTATAAAGCATCAGGATCCACCTGTTAGCATATACACTCGAGCAGGGGTTCCCAAAGGTGGTTCAATGCAGTTGAGCCACCTCACCCACCCACCACCCACACAACGAAATACAGTCGAGGGATCAATTGGCAGCATAGTTTTCAGGGAAGACAGATAAAGGCTTGCCTCCAGCGAAAGTGTTTGCCAGTGCACTAATAGACTTTTTTCATGTGGATCATTAAAGCCGCATTATCTTAGAGTGAAATTTATGAAGAAAGCATTCCATGATAGACTGCATTTCAACAAAACCATATTGATGCTACTGTTGAGTGGAGGAGAAATGTGATATAGTATTTGTGTGTTTACTGCTAGATAATGCTTGGCCTCTGTTGTTCTTAAAATCCTCATACTTAATTTAATCATTCTGGCCTCCACAGCTGGCATCCAACCTTAATGAAAAATACAATGAGTGTCAGTTGCAAGTAAGACAGCTATTAGAAATGCTGTCACACTGGCTGACAGGACTGTGAAATCAGAGGCCTCCACCCTGGTCACAGTGGAAAATCCCCATCAAGTCACAGTCATAGGCCGAGTCCAAAGATTAACATATGGGAAAGAACCATCACCAAAATTACCAGGTGACAGAGGAGTTAAGACCAGAGACAAACTCATAAACAAAGAACCCTTTAGTCAGCAACATAAACGTAGTGCCACACATTGAAATCAGAATATTAAAGTGCTGTGTTTTAAAGATTACAAATGGATTTTTCTCTTCTCCCATTGAGGACTTGCAAACATGGATGCTTTACAGTTGCAGCTTTCTTTAAAGGAAACATATTTTTCCAGGAAAAAGCAGGGATTAGCAAAGTCAAAATGCTCAAATACTCAAAATCTGGCTTTCAAGATAATTTCACACTTTCATTAAACATACCACACTCAGCTGGGTTGTGTGTATTTCATGAATATAGTGAAGCTTACTTTTCAGTGGAGGAAACTGCTACATCCAATGTCTCCTTTTTGCCATGCTTGCCTATTTCAACTGTGTGTTGTGTTTCCTGTCGGCATCTTTCCAAGATTTTCATTTGGATAATGGATACAATAAACAGTGAAGAAGTGAAAGAAGTGACCAGCGATCCTGGTCTTCATCTTTGCATCTGAGCCTGTTACTGTGGATCATACTGTTATAAATTCTTAAGAATTCACTCCATTTATTTGTCTTATATTTGAAGTGGGCATAAAGATGAACTAATACTAGGCCAATAGGTTTTTTGAACATACCTTACCTACAAAGAAGTAAGCCCCAAAGGGCAGATCTCATTTTTTGATATTGTAGCCCATCGGTACATTTGCTCTGATGCAGGTTTACTTATCCTTGGATATCCCAAATTTTTAAGCATTGTTGTCCTTTACTCATTTTGAACCACCATCCTTTTTTTTTACTTTGTTTGCATAAATGATCAAGACTTTTTTTAGGGAAAAATTTGTTGTTTTTTTCCGGAAAATTGTTCATCAACAACAATGTTTGATTTTAAAATACTGTACAAAGAGTATGAATAGTCCCATCAGATCCATGGTTGATATCCGTATTGTAGCGATTCGAATTTATAATAAATGTCTGAAGATTAATAATCTTAAATTATAACTTTTATGCACTCGTTAAAAGGGGTACCACCCACCCTTAATTCTGGGAAAAATAAAGAAAAACAAAAGCTTAATTCAGAAATCACACATTAAGTCAATATTAAATAAATCAATCTCATATCTCAAGCCGAAATTCTCATTTCAGGGACTCCACTTCTGGAAGAACACTAACAGACAAGAACTTAAAAAAATAATGATCTATTTATTAAAGGATAAATGATGATACAGCAAACATGCAATAAATGATGACAAGATAATGAGGATAAATAATAAAAGGTAAAGAATAAAAGATTCTGAGTCAGGCTAGGAGCACTAAAGTTAATCATAGTGAGTGAACAAGCTCTAACATATTAACCTACACTAACTTTGGTGTCAAGCTAAATTTGGATGTGGATTTGGATGAATCTAGGATGACTAGAATAAGTGAATATCTGAGTCATGACTACAGACTAAGAGATGAGACAGCATCAGCCCCGTTTGGAGCTCCTGAGGTTTGCATACTTAAGTGAGACTGGTCCTTGGAGAAGATGGAGCAGGGTCCGTATGTCCATGGCTACCGGCGGTTCGAGAGTTGCAGCTCAGAAGACAACCTAAGTCAGCCGAAAGATGGGCCAGGAGTTGCAGCACTCAGGCCGAGGCAAAAACCAGTGCCTTATAATCCTCAGGATGCTCCTTTGGTCTCACTCAAATACTCTGTCACAGAGGATGACTTTGGGCCTGCTCGGTGGCGTTCAGAGGTGACTTTGAAATCACACAGATAACTCAGGAAAAGAGGCTCAATGGCCAATTGAAACAATTTCAAAAATAACTGTGAAATTAAAGAAAAATCAATGAAAGGCTTAATCTTGGATTGCTATTTGCACAAAAAGTTTAAGTTTCAAAACTTGAACTAAGACAATGTTAATGAAAAATCAACGTGACCGGACGTGTGGCGTAAAACTTAGAGGAATGAACCATAGCGGTAGTTCAGGTAGGTAAGGGAGTCAAGCTAAAGGCTACAGTTAGCTGATCTGAAGACAGCCCTCAGTCAGCTGACAGCTCAGGTGATCGCACTCTACACATCCTATTGGCTAATGTCAAAATGGCGCCCTATTCAAACTGCTTCTGCTGCCTACTCTGCCTGCTGCAACCAGTCTGCATCGGCTCTGCAAGGCTGCATTGGTTCTGCAAGCTCCCACTCATGAGAACACTCAGATCTGCGTTTTTGCTTTTTCCTACCTTACATCATGTCGATCCCTGCCCACGACGAGGATCCATGGCAGATTGAGTGCTTTTCTGAAACGCAACATCAATGTGAAGTCAAGAAAGCCAGTCCTTGCAATGACAGCTGCATTCCCTTCTGCAGGAGCTCTCCTCTAGCAAGTAAAACTTCTATTTCTCCCAGCTTCATGAACAGCCGGAGTCCTTTAAAAATAACATCACAGCTCCAGGCGATGCCTCACATCAAGAGCTTTTCACCTTGTTCATGGAAAATATCCACATAGAGCCTCCACTAGCAGTTCTCTCTTCCTCCCCTGTCTCCAGAAAAGCGACCGAGAAAAGAAACACTGTTCCTGCAGCATCATGGCAGTTCCAGCTTCAGCCGCCATGTCACCGCCGCTGCCCGCAGAGAGCAAGGCCCAACCCCAGCCACCAGAACCACGGACAATCCCATCCTGAAAGCACTGTCCAGCATCCAGTCATCGCGTACCCATATGTCTTCAAGGATCGAAGCCTCAGAATCCGGTTCGGCATGTGCTAGGCTGTCTTCCTCCATCCCAGCTGTCACACCTGCATTCACCACACTGAATGATGATGTCACTCTAAAGACAACCGACGACAGCGTCAACATCCCGCGAAGGACCCTGGGAAGTGCAGTCCCCGTCTCCACCAGCCTCCCGTTCTTCCCTCCCATGGTAATTACACCTAATCTGCGGAGCCAAATCCTCACAGGTACTGATGTCAATCTTTAAAAAAAAAATTCTTGCTGTGCTCTGGCTACAACGATGGATGCATTGTGGATTGCAGAGACGTGTCTGTGATGCATAAAGATAGCGATCCCCGGCTGTTTAAATCTCCGACCTTAGCTGAATTTATGCAGCTTTTGGCGTATTTGGAGAAGTCATACGTTAATTGTTTTTCATTGCAACTGAAATGGACACATCTCGCCATCATTTCTGATTGAGCCATGACTTTTGGAAGAATATTATTCTAGGAATATCACAAATCATTTTCAGCAAAGCTGCTGTGTACATTCAAAGACTCAACCAAAGACTTGATTAGTCCGTACTCGACCTGGCTCTCATCAGTAGACATTTCACTGGGCATCAAGCTTTTTCCTGCTCAAGCTGTGGGTTTTTCTCTCACACTCAAAGGTGACAGTAAGCCAGTAAGCCAGTATGACATAATCAGCAGTTTACAGCCAGTATGCTGCGGTATGCAAACCTTCACCCCTGTAGTGTATGTAGGCTACATTTGGTTTGTGTGTTGCCGCATGTCAGTCTGCACTCTGCATTGTAACCATAGAAATCCAATAGGACCAGGCTGCCTGAGAGTGAGTTGTATTTGCTTCCGCATACAAACTCAAGAAATGGGAGCTCAGTGCACATTTTGATTGGACACTGGTTGCCTAGGCACTGGGGCTCGCCTTTTGCGGAAGGAGGGAATTTTTAAAGAGGCAGCTGCTTGGCAAGGCCAAGTTACTGCAGGGACAGGCACCTAAAATCAGCAAGCCCAAGATGCACCCGCCTTGTAAAAAAGGAGAATAAAGCTGTCTACTCTGTCAAATGTCTCTGAGCTGGGGAAGGCACTGGCAAAGCATCCCAACTGCTGTTTGTGAATTATTTGATAACAGGACTAGTTCAGGGGTTCCTAGACAGTTTGGTCTGTCTGCCAAAAGTGTCTTTTGTGTGTAAGAATAAATTTACAATCTGCGATGAAAGATCCTGAAATAGTTGATGGAGAAGAGGTTAACCCCTTGAGCCCGATGGTCCCTTGCAAGGGCCGAGATTTTGCTGGATGAAATTCAACACTATAAAAAATGTATTAAATCTTGACCGCGGTGTTTACTTTCACTTCTCGATCCAAGTTTAGACTCTAATGTTCACAAAACTGGGTCGGATGTCTGTTTTAGTGCAAACGTTACCTTTTATATGTCGATTTTAATCAGCCTTGTAGCGAAATCTGGACCTTTAAATTTTGGGACAGTCACCGAATCAAAGCTTTACAGTGTAGCGGAGAATGGCTCCATACGGCCATGCTTGTAGTCCTTTGAAAGGGGAGACTCTACTGAATCGAATGACTCCTTTCAATCCAATAACTACATTTCCCAGTACAGTGAAAAAGCCGCGCGTAAAGTTCTCGTTATCTGTGCGCTTTTAGCTGCAGCGCCTCCGAGATGAAGGCAGAACGCTGAATCGCACGCCTATCGCACAGATCAGCGCTGCTAACTTTCTGCACCGAGAAAAAACTTTCCCGAGGCATTTTCAAAGATGGCAAAGAGAACGTTTGATAGCAAGAGGGATATTGCGGCGATTCTTGCTGAAATTCAGCGGGGGTCAGATGTTGAGTTCGAGGACTCCTCTGACTCTGAGAGCAGCAATGATGCCGGCTCCGAGGAGGAGGCATTGTACATGAGCGACGTGGACCCGGTTTATGAGTGAGTATTTGCATATATTTATAAGGCTAAGTGTTGTGTGAATTGATATGCACGGTAAACCTTTGTAAAAACAAAACACAGTAGTAATTATGGCAACTCAATAGTATTGAATATTACTGCAGTTTCACAGTATTTGTTTATTTTGGGCTAACTTTGCTTGCAGGTACTGCTAGCATACGAAGTAAATATAAATGCAAACAAAATGTAGTAGAGGTGATAGCTTCTGAATTTATTGAATGTTTACATACGTCCACAGCCTTTGTGTCCTTCAGTGAAATGTACAAATGTTTGTTCTACGTAGTTATTTATCACCATTTTCACAGCCACCAAGAAGAGGAGAGTAAAGCACTGGCAGGCCCATCAGGAGCTTTCACACCTTCAACAATACATGCAGCAGCCACCCATCCCCCACCCTTGCCTGCAAGAGAGGTGTCACCACTTGATACAAGGTTTGTGTCCTGATCATTTGTGTAGTTTGGGTCTCTAAAAGAAATAATGCACTCTTTACTGCTTCAGTTATGTATTTATATGTCTTATTGTTTGTAGAAATTGATGTGAATCATCAGTTTTCTAAATATGTTTCTTTCAACATCTGTACTCCTTTTATCATGCAACAGTGAGGAGAGAGAAGGTTTGTGTCCTGATCATTTGTGTAGTTTGGGTCTCTAAAAGAAATAATGCACTCTTTACTGCTTCAGTTATGTATTTATATGTCTTATTGTTTGTAGAAATTGATGTGAATCATCAGTCTTCTAAATATGTTTCTTTCAACATCTGTACTCCTTTTTTCATGCAACAGTGAGGAGGAAGAAGAATGCCAAGAATATTTGCCACCACAGCGCACCACCTCTTCATCCTCAAGTTCTGGGCCCTCTTCCCCTGACCCAAAGAGAGCACGTGGCCGTGGCCGTGGCCGTGGTCGTGGCCGTGGACGTGGACGTGGACGTGGACGTGGAGGGCAAGCCAGCAACTTGCCTAGACCGGCTCCTGTGCACCTGGAGGCTCAGCATGAGGGATGGCACACAAAAGAGGAGCCAGATGTTGAGCCTCCAACACCACGATTTGAGCCGAAGTGTCCACCTGGTCCCAGGATCGACACCACTGCACAGTGGTCCCCGCTCAGCCTCTTCAGGTTATTTTTTAGCAGCAGCATCGTACACACCATCATCAATAACACAAATGCCAATGCTGCACGAAGGTTGGCAAAAGGTGCTAAGTACAAGTGGTCTCCCCTCTCAGGTGACTCTTTCTATCTTTTCCTATCAATAGTCTTGTTCTTTGGCTTGGTACGTGTGCACTCCAGGACGGACTATTGGCGGAAGGACTGGCCGTACCAATTTGTCTTTCCTAAGAGTAGCATGTCAAGGGACAAATTTGAGGCCATCTTTTGGTCTCTTCATCTCTCTGATGTTGCAGAGGATGAAGAGAATGAAAGAAAAAGGGGAACACCTCAATTTGACAGGCTATTCAAAATCAAGCCACTCTATGGTGAGATTGTGAATGCCTGTAACTCCCTGTACCAGCCATACCAGAACATAACTATTGATGAGCGGATGGTGGCCAGCAAAGCACGCATTGGATTTAGGCAGTACATGAGAGATAAGCCAACAAAATTCGGCTATAAATTATTTGTATTGGCAGACTCCAAATCAGGCTTTACCTCAAATTTTTTCGTTTATCAAGGTAAAGATGATACCAAGGTCAAACAGAGGGGACAGACGGAGGATGGCCTTAGCGTCACATCCGTCATGGACCTGATGAAGTTTGACCTCCTTGGGAAAGGCTATCATCTTTACGTTGATAACTTTTATACCAGTCCACGGCTTTTCTCTAAATTACTGCAACATCACACTGTTGCTTGTGGCACCATTCGGTCGAATAGGGAGGGATTTCCAAAAACCGTCATAAACGACCTCCCAAAGAAACCTGAGAGGGGAGACATGAGGTGGATCAGAAAGGGCAACCTTCTGTTCGCACGGTGGATGGACACCAAAATTGTAAACATATGCAGCACCTTCCACAAGGCGTACAGCGGGGCCACTGTACAGAGGAGGGTAAAGGGACCAGATGGACACTGGCACAGGGGTCCTGTGCCAGTGCCAGATGCATGCAGGGACTATAATATGAACATGGGTGGTGTGGACCTCTCTGATGCGCTTATCCAGTATTACACCGTCCACAGCAAAACCATGAGGTGGTATAAAACCTTTTTTTACCACTTCATGGATATTGCTGTGGTCAACAGCTTCATACTCCACAAAGCAGTGGCCACCTGCCAAAATCAGACCCCTCTGTCCCTCAAAAGGTTCAGGGAGGTTTTGATGAAGGAAATGGTTGAGCAGGCTCAACTTATTCCTGCTGCAGCCACCCCTGGCCCGAGCAGTACCACCACCTGCATGCCTGTGTTTAGGGGGGATAGCACTCAGGAGCGCAGGAAATGTGTGGTCTGTGCGGCCAAGGAGAGAGAAAAGGCCAAGCAGATTCAGGGGTACAAGGCAAAGGACATGAAGACACCGGTTTTCTGTTCAAGGTGCAATGTGTCACTTTGCCTTGTACCCGGAAGAAACTGCTTTGTGGAGTATCACAAAAATACTGGGTAAATATTGGGTTTTCGAGAACCACATTCATCCCTTGTAAATAGTTTGATTTTTTGCACATTTTTACATACTGTAATATTGTTTATTGTGTTTTGCTGTGTTTTTTGTTTACCTGCACATTCCATTCCTTCACATTTACATTGATCACTTTATATTTATTTGTTGAACTGCAGCTGGAAAGCCATTCCATCCCCTTATTGCTCATTGTAAATAGTTTTGTTGCACCTTTTACTTACATTTTGTTTGCACTAATTATGTTTGCTGTGTTTTATATTGTTATCTATTGTTTTTTATTTTATATTTCTTGCAATTTTACTATTTATTTTACATTGTTTGCACTTAGTGATTGTTTGTTTCTCTTTTTGCACTTTACTTTAAATAAAAATACTCCCTGTGGAGCCCTAAAAAGTAGAACTTCCTGTTATTTTTCATTATTCTTTATCGCATATGAACATATATATTGTGTACAATGGTGGAAATTGATGAGTCACTTGGTAAATTTCATATCCAAAAGCTTCAATAGTTACTAGGAGTCTAGTCTAATGGAAATTAATTGTAATTTGGAGCCAGTTTTCATCAGAGGTAGAAAATAAACCATTTGGCACAATTTGGCACAAAGTGTGCCAAACTGAGTCCACGCCAGGGTGTATCCTTACAAAAACCTTCATGTAGGCTTTACTGTTTGCCCAAATGCTATCAAACTTGGTACATTTGTGGTCAAGGAGTGGGTGAAGCTAATCAATGGCATCTGGGGGCCTGGAATCATTGCCAGCATTGTGTTTCCTCTGTCAAAAAAAGGAAACATTTTGGCGAGGGTAAAAAACGTCACTTTTCCTCTGATTTATTCCACTTTATTCAGGCATAATGACAGATACAACACTTCTGACACTTGGAACACATTCTCTGAAGTCTCTAGATGTCCAAGGACACCAAGAACATGCATATAACCTTTAGTAAAGTGTAGTAATTCCTCATTTACTTTGGGTATGTCTTTTAGGCGTTTTTTTCCCTAAAATAGGCTCAGGGCTTAACAGGTTAAGAAAGGATTCATGATTGGCCCCTATGCTAAGTCACCCTTTCAATTACCAGCATTAATCCTTTAGACATACTGCTAAAGGCAAGATGGCAGCGCGCACGGGTGCAGTGGCTCTTAGCTCTCCAGTTTGGTGTTTGTTTTTTATATTCTTGAGTGCACTTTTTTTTAATCTAAAAAGGGCAGCCATATTGTATAGTCGTCAGAATTTACTCGACCTGGGCTGCAGGTACAGTTTGGCAGTCACTGGCGACTATCAACAAATGCACAACATCCCGGAGGACATAGCAAGAATGCCGGGGTCTCCATGGATGGTCAGCCCGCATGGCAAGCACAAGAGGCAGCGGAGAGAGAGGAAGCAGAAGCGGGGATGCTGGTCGAGCTTGGCCACTAGGCTACGTAAACAAACTCACAGGCCAGCAGTACTGAGCCTTTTTCTCTCAAACGCCAGATCCATCACCCACAAAATAGACAAATTGGAGCTACAGATGGCCACGACAAGCTTTGTGCGGAACTGCAACATCGTTTTTATCACAGTCGTGGATTCACCCGCTGATTCCCGATGCGGCAGTCGAGCTAGCAGGCCGCATGCTACACCAGCAGGACAGAAACTGGGACTCGGGTAAGAGCAGAGGAGGGGGGCTCTGTGTTTATGTTCACAACGAGTGGTGTTGTAACAGCAGGATCATTGACACACACACTGTTCTCCCGATTTAGAGGTTCTGGTAGTCTCGTGCAGACCTTTTCATCTCCCGAGGGAGTTTACAGTAGTCATAGCGATAGCTGTTTACATCCCACCAGAAGCTAACGTTAGCACGGCTCTCAGCCTGCTGTTTAACACCATAAATAAGCAGCAGCTCGCACATCCCGACGTGGTTCTCATTGTCGCCGGCGACTTCAACCAAGCGTGCCTAAAGTCTGTGCTCCCCAAATTTGCCCAGTTTGTAGACTTTGCCACCAGAGGGAATAACACTTTGGATCATGTTTATTCCAATATCAGGCATGCATACAAAGCTACACCCCTCCCCCACCTGGCTGGATCTGACCACCTCTGCATGTCCCTCACCCCCACCTACACCCCCCTTGCTGACAAAAAAAAACCTAAGAGAAAGACAATAAAGACCTGGCCTGAAGGAGCCCTCTCTCAGCTACAGGACTGCTTCTCCACAACTATATGGGATTTATTCACCAGCCACAACCTCCAGGAGTTCACAGATACTGTACTTTCCTACATCGGGAACTGCGTTGACAATGTCACCGTCAACAAAAGGGTGTTTGCAAACCAAAAACCCTGGATGTACAGTGAAGTGCAATCCCTCCTAAAAAACGCAACACTGCCTTCAAGTCAGGAAACAGGGCAGTGTATAGCGTGGCCAGGGCTGACCTGAAAAGGGGCATCAGGGAAACCAAGGCGGCCTACAGGAGAAGGATTGAAGAGCACTTGGCTGATAACAACCCTAGAAGGATGTGGCATGGGATAAATCACATCACAAACTTCAGAGGCACCTATCAGGCGACAGCTAGGACTGATGCCTCGCTGGCAGAGGATTTAAACAGCTGCTTCACCCGCTTTGATACAGTCAGGCCCTCAGCTGTCACAGTCACAACACCCACATCCCCCAGCACCAGTACGCTGAGGACCCAACTACACGAATGTGGATATATTTCAAACCGCACATATTTATGTCCGATTAGGCCTCCCTACCACACCAAAACGGGAGTTTGGAGCACTCAAACCGGATAAATCTGAATCCGAAAAAACAAGTGGAGCAATAAGAAAATATCCGTATAAGTGGATTCGTGTGGTTGAAGTTTTACGGATCGATGACGTCAAACTGCAGCTTGCACATGCAAATTAAAAAGAAAAACAACAACATACAGGGTATTCTTTACGTTTTCTACGCTTTCCTGAGCTTTGGTGGTCTTGTAGTTTAATATAACATTAAGGAGAAGTTCAACTTCGTCTGTCCAGACAAAGGAATTTTTCTCTTTACTTGTGTTCTTCCCCGCCATGTCTCTTTCTTTGTTTGTTTGTTATAGCCGCCACACTGTCACATGGACCCGACGCACTAGCGTAGCTTCCGCAAACAATGCATGACGCATCACGCTGTTATGATTCATCGGCCAATCAGGTAGCTTTGTTCCTGAATTTTTTTTAAGCGGCACCAGATAGGATTAAGTTTGAAGGCTACGTGTGGATGCAAATATTTTTGAGAAATAACACGCGTGGACAGATACATTGATTTAGACGGGAGTACAAAAATATCCTGATTAATAAATATCTATATACGTGTAGTCCGGGCCTAACACTTCAAGAGAAGTATGTAAGACGTGTGCTGAGGACAGTGAACCCCAGGAAGGCACCCGGCCCTGACGGAGTACCCGGCAAGGTACTCAGAGCGTGTACTGACCAAGTGGCTGGAGTGTTCACGTGTATCTTCAACCTGTCCCTGTCTTTGGCCACCGTCCCTCCCTGCCTCAAGACCTCCACCATCATCCCCATCCCCAAGAAGACAGCTGTGGACAGCCCCAATGATTACAGGCCTGTTGCACTTAGGCCTGTAATTATGAAGTGCTTTGAGAGACTGGTCTCTCAGCACATCAGGACCCATCTTCCACCCACTCTGGACCCCTACCAGTTTGCCTACAGGGCAAATAGATCCACAGAGGACGCTATCACCATAGCACTCCACACCGCGCTGAGCCATCTGGAGCACCTGGGGAACTATGTGAGGATGCTCTTCCTGGACTTCAGCTCAGCTTTTAACCACATCATCCCGGAGATCCTGATCCAGAAACTGTCCCACCTGGGTCTATCCACCACCATCTGCCTCTGGATCAAGGACTTCCTGACAAACCGCCCACAATCTGTCAGACTCGGCCCCCACCTCTCCAGCACCATCACACTCAACACCAGCTCTCCACAAGGATGTGTTTTGAGTCCCCTCCTGTTCACACTCTACACATCCGACTGCTCCCCGACCCATCTCTCAAACACTTTCATAAAGTTTGCGGACGACACTACCGTAGTCGGACTCATCTCAGGGGGAGACGAGTCTAAATACAGAGATGACGTCAACAGACTGTCTGCGTGGTGTCCAGTAAACAACCTCCAACTGAACACCACAAACACTAAAGAAATCATCATAGACTTCAGGAAGGGCAGAGTGGACCCGGCCCCACTCTACATCCATGGGGACTGTGTGGAAAGGGTCCAAACCATGAGATTCCTGGGTGTGCAGATATTAGAGGACCTCTCCTGGACCGCAAATACTTCTGCGGTGGTGAGGAAGGCCCAGCAGCGTCTCCACTTCCTGAGAGTGCTCAGGAGAAATAACCTTGAGGAGAAGTTGCTAGTGACCTTCTACAGAGGCACCATAGAGAGCATCCTGGCGTACTGCATCACAGCTTGGTATGCGGGGTGCTCTGCAGCCGACAGGAGAGCACTACAGAAGGTCATCTGCACAGCCCAGAAGATCACAGGCTGCCCTCTGCCCAGTCTGGAGGACATTGCCAACTCTTGCTACCTGAGCAGAGCTGGCAACATCGTCGAGGAATCATACCACCCCGGAAACCACCTGTTTGACCTGTTACTGTCGGGCCGAAGGTACAGGTCACACAAAACAAGGACCAACAGACTCAGGGATAGCTTCTTCCCGAGAGCTATCACTGCAGTCAACTACAACAAGTCCAATTGAACCTGTCCCCCTCAACCAACATATATTACTGATCACATTGATCTTAGTGCAATAAATGTATCTTTATCCATGCAATAACACTGGGCTTCACTTGTGCAATATCGGGTTTCATATCAGTCATATCATTCATTCCTGTTTGTTTATATTTTATAATGTACCGATATATACATTACTGCCTTTTTTACTTTTCTTTCTTCCTGTTCTTACCTTATCTCGTGTTTTATAATGGCTTCTTTTTAGTACTTATTTCTTTTGCTATGCACCAAAGGGAGTGGCGCTCAAATTTCATTGTACTGTGTACACTGACAATAAAGGCCATTCTGATACACGTAAATATACTTGAGGAAAATGCATCTAAGTAGCATCTACTGTAAGTAGAGAAGTAACGGGACATGCTCGAGAGGCAATACATCTACCGAAAAGAAAACTTCTCTCTTTGCTTGGGCATATTTATTTGCCATGTGCGTCATGCCTCAGGGGCGGTCCTTTATATCTATACTTCTCAACCTCGCCAAATCAGTTGAGAAACTCCATGATAGGGTAAGTTTAGATGAAGGTTGCAGATCCAAACTGCGGTTTGGTCACTTCTGTGTAAAAATGGAAAGGCATCTCATTGTCTTATAGTGACTATTAGGAATCTTCTCCTGCCATTTAAGCTATTTACAGTCACAGCACCATCTGTTGCTTTTGGGGGGTTTTAATAATCAATGGTTGCTGATATTTGGCCAAATAAACTGTCTTCTCTGCCAAAAAATGTGTCTTCAACTGCTCTCCACAAATTGTATCCAGTTGTCATAGCTTGCCTCCTATGGGATAAAAATTGGTCCAGGAAACAGATTTTTCTTTTCGTGACAATTAGGCAACTGTTAATATCATTAACAAAGGGCACTCTTCAGTTCCATTTATTAATAGGTTTATGAGGCACCTTACCTGTCTTGGGTAATTTTTATTATTTGAGCAGTCCATATTTCAGGCCGGGATAACCAAATTGCTGATTCCTGTCCCAATTCTAATTTTAAAAATTCCACCAACTGTGCCCGGAGGCAGCACCATCCAGCCTGACCTGTTCCCCATTCATTCAGATTGTGTTAGTCTTAGTGCAGTCTTGAAAACTTATGTGCTCTCTGCTGCCCGCTGTACGAGAGCTGGTTAAGCAAAATCAGCATTTAAGTTAATATGATTCTTCATGGTCTCACTTTACCTCTTCTGTACCACCTTTTCTGTAGCTCCAATGCTGTAAATTTATCCATCGTATGTGCATTAATAGTCCACTGTTTTGAATCTCACAAATATTAAAGGACTTGTAGCAGGTATTCAGTTCCATCTGCGCTGTCTGAACCCATCCACCACCAGCCTGCTTGAAAACCCATCTATTCATATTTATTTCTCGAACTAACTGACTTTGTCCTATGTACTCTATGTCCCCCTACCTTAGAGGCCAGCTGCTGGCCAGCTAGCAAGAGCCTCTCTTTGCCACTGAAGAAGGGAAACCTATATCCAGATCATGGTTTTCTGCTCACCTCTGCCTGCTTGATCACCTCTGCCTGCTCTGCTCACCTGTGCCTGCTCTGCCAATCCTGCTGGCTCCCACCCAAGCACGACTCTACGCATAGATGCAACTACAACAGCATCCTCCATTGTCCCCGTCTCAGCATTCAAGGCTATAGGTCAATAGTCCTCATCAGCCTATGAATAATACCGCAGGCTTAAGGCTCAAGAAATTCTTATGCTCAGTTGGCTATGAGTGCTTTGAAAAATGCTGCTGCACCACAAATATGTGTATGAATGAAATGAATCCTGTTCCACAATCATGTTTGAGGGTAACCTATACAACACAAGCTTTGGAGGTGGGTAGGTTGCCTTGTAACTGCTGGCTGCTGCTCTCCCTCCCCTGTAGGAGCTTTCATGTAGCTGGTATGGTTGTTCTGGGGGGGCTTTTTAGGGCCCGAGCGTAGCTGCTAAGCAGCTGCGAGAGCCCTCTTGTTCCTGCATGTTTCCTTCTTTAGGGCCCGAGCGTAGCTGCTAAGCAGCTGCGAGAGCCCTCTTGTTCCTGATGGATTCTTCTTTCGTTATTTTTCCTCCGCTTTAAACTGGAAAATGGCCCACTTCCCACTGGCGAAAACTCAGGAAATTTGGCAGGACGACCGGGCCTGGTGAAAAATTTGATATTCTGAAGTCGCCCAAACAAAAAAATGAAAAATGGCTCCATAGCGCCCCCTATGGTGAAAACTCACCTGACGCCTGTACGCTTTGTCAAAATGACACAAAATTTGACACACATGTGTATCTCAATAAGATCTACAAAAAAGTCAGTGCGGGCGTATCTGTCAAATGTACGGTTAAAGGGCTATTTCGCATTTTTTGCCGATCCGCACACATTGGAATTTCGCTAACTCCTCCGAAGGCTTTCGTTCCACCGGCACCAAATTTGCTCAGGCCAATCTACACCCCATGGCCATTCAAAGTTGTACAAATCATGACGCTGCACCCCACGGTTTATGTTCTAGGGGGCGCCAAAGATAACCCAAAAATCCACATTCTTAAAAGTCTTATAACTTTTTATTTTTGTCCTCACTGGCCTCCAAGTTTTCTAGGATGATGCTATGTCCAGCCATCAACACATGTGTGAAGGAATTTTTACTCCACAAAAGAGCGCCCCCCATGGCAGGAGAAAAAAGTCAATTTTTTCTTGTCTCCTAAGGTGAAAATACATATTGTCGAGTGTCACGCCTGTATGCTTTGTCATATTGACACAAAATTTGACAATCACGTGTATCTCAATAAGATCTACGAAAAAGTCAAAGGGCATGTATCTGTCAAATGTACGGTTAAAGGGCTATTTTGCATTTTTTGCCGATCCGCACACATTGGAATTTCGCTAACTCCTCCGAAGGCTATCTTTCCACCGGCACCAAATTTGCTCAGGCCAATCTACACCCCATGGCCATTAAAAGTTGTACAAATCATCTTGCTGCACCCCACGGTTTGGGTTCTAGGGGGCACCAAATATAACCCAAAAATCCACATTCTTAAAAGTCTTATAACTTTTTATCTTTTTCCATACTGGCCTCCAAGTTTTTTAGGATGATGCAATGTCCAGCCATCAACACATTTGTAAAGGAATTTTTACTCCCGAAAAGAGCGCCCCCCCATGGCAGGAGAAAAAAGTCCATTTTTTCTTGTCCCCTAAGGTGAAAAAACACATTGTTGACTGTCACGCCTATACGCTTTGTCAAAATGACACAAAATTTGACACACACGTGTATCTCAATAAGATCTACGAAAAAGTCAATGGGCACGTATCTGTAAAATGTACGGTTAAAGGGCTATTTCGCATTTTTTGCCGATTCGCACACATTGGAATGTGGCTAACTCCTCCTAAGGCTTTCTTCCCACCGACACCAAATTTGCTCAAGCCGATCTACATCCCATGACCATTCAAAGTTGTAAAAATCATGCCGCTGCACCCCATGGTTTACGTTCTAGGGGGCGCCAAAGATGACCCAAATATCCACATTCTTAAAAGAATCCACATCCCCCCCCCCCCAAGGAGGGAGAAAAAGTCCAGTTAACCCTGCCCATCGCTCAATGGCTCAATCGCATCGCTCTCCTGGCAACACAGTAAGGAGGAGCAACTTGCCATTTGGATATATCCTAGCTGTGTTTGTGCCCTCACTCATGGTCCAGACTTTTTTCAAATAGGACATGTAGTTTGTCTGCAGCGACCGTTTTGGTAGAAACTGCGCCTCCCATTCATTATAATGGGAAATGACCACAGACAAGTGCGCACACCATCTTTGGACCTTGAGTGTGATGCGATCAGGAGGGGGAGGCGGTCGCGCTGGGGGCGGCGCGACGCGGCTCGGGCCCGACAGTGCCCCACCGGGGCCCTAGTTAGGGCCCGAGCCAGCTGCAGAGCAGCCGGGCGTAGGCCCTATTATTCCCCAAGTGGTTTTTCTTTGTTTCTTTCTTTAGGGCCCGAGCGTAGCTGCTAAGCAGCTGCGAGAGCCCTCTTGTTCCTGTAGTTTCCTTCTTTTGTTATTATTATTAGGGCCCGAGCGTAGCTGCTAAGCAGCTGCGAGAGCCCTCTTGTTCCTGATGGATTCTTCTTTTGTTATTAGGGCCCGAGCCAGCTGCAGAGCAGCCGGGCGTAGGCCCTGTTATTCCTGTAGGGGTTTTTCTTTGTTTCTTTCTTTAGGGCCCGAGCGTAGCTGCTAAGCAGCTGCGAGAGCCCTCTTGTTCCTGTAGTTTCCTTCTTTTGTTATTATTATTATTATTATTATTTTTCCTCCCCTTTGAACTGGAAAATGGCCCACTTCCCACTGGCGAAAACTCATGAAATTTGGCAGGACGACCGGGCCTGGTGAAAAATTTGATATTCCGAAGTCGCCCAAACAAGAAAATGCAAAATGGCTCCATAGCGCCCCCTAAGGTGAAAATTCACACTATTCACTGTCACGCCGGTACGCTTTGTCAAAATGACACAAAAATTGACACACACATGTATCTCAATAAGATCTACAAAAAAGTCAGTGCGGGCGTATCTGTCAAATGTACGGTTAAAGGGTTATTTCGCATTTTTTGCCGATCCGCACACATTGGAATTTCGCTAACTCCTCCGAAGGCTTTCGTTCCACCGGCACCACATTTGCTCAGGCCAATCTACACCCCATGGCCATTAAAAGTTATTCAAATCATGACGCTGCACCCCACGGTTTAGGTTCTAGGGGGCGCCAAAGATAACCATAAGATCCACATATTTAAAAGTCTTATAACTTTTTATTTTTGCCCTCACTGGCCTCCAAGTTTTCTAGGATGATGCAATGTCCAGCCATCAACACATTTGTGAAGGAATTTTTACTCCCCAAAAGAGCGCCCCCCCATGGCAGGAGAAAAAAGTCCATTTTTTCTTGTCCCCTAAGGTGAAAATACACATTGTTGAGTGTAACACCTGTACGCTTTGGCAAAATGACACAAAAATTGACACACACATGTATCTCAATAAGATCTACGAAAAAGTCAATGCGCGCGTATCTGTCAAATGTACGGTTAAAGGGTTATTCCGCATTTTTTGCCGATCCGCACACATTGGAATTTCGCTAACTCCTCCGAAGGCTTTCGTTCCACCGGCACCACATTTGCTCAGGCCAATCTACACCCCATGGCCATTAAAAGTTATTCAAATCATGACGCTGCACCCCACGGTTTAGGTTCTAGGGGAGCCAAAGATAACCGTAAAATCCACATATTTAAAAGTCTTATAACTTTTTATTTTTGTCCCCACTGGCCTCCAAGTTTTCTAGGATGATGCAATGTCCAGCCATCAACACATTTGTGAAGGAATTTTTACTCCCTAAAAGAGCGCCCCCCCATGGCAGGAGAAAAAAGTCCATTTTTTCTTGTCCCCTAAGGTGAAAATACACATTGTTGACTGTCACGCCTGTACGCTTTGGCAAAATGACACAAAAATTGACAATCATGTGTATCTCAATTAGATCTACGAAAAAGTCAAAGAGCGCGTATCTGTATAATGTACGGTAAAAGGGCTATTTTGCATTTTTTGCCGATTCGCACACATTGGAATTTCGCTAACTCCTCCTAAGGCTTTCGTCCCACTGACACCAAATTTGCTCAGGCCAATCTACACTCCATGGCCATTCAAAGTTGTAAAAATCATGACGCTGCACCCCACGGTTTACGTTTTAGGGGGCGCCAAAGATGACCCAAATATACATTACAGTAGACAAAGTAGTTTTGCCCACTGAGTGGCGCCAAAGGGACTTGTCTGTGGAGTCTGTGAGTCACTATTGGCCGTTTTTGACTACTTTAGATTTTACCTTTATATTTCCTCTCACAAAATTTTTACCTTGCCTTGCCTGGTATCATTTTTTTCAGCACAACCTCACCTGTGTCAATTTACAGTTATTTTATCATTTTGACATACTATATTTACACATTGGACCCAAATTCACACACAAAACATAAAATCCGAGTGGAAAAAAGTAACGTTTTTACTGTGAAAACCACAAATATGTGTGATGAACTGTTTTTAAAACTTAAACTTCAAATAAAAATTGTAAACTTCAAAACATATGCAAATTTTTAACATAGAACATAGTAATTTACCTCTATTTACATCAAAATGCAGGCAATGGCCCAGGTGTTCTTTGTAAAATTATTTACAAAACACTGTATAGTCTCACAAATGTCACTTTTTATTTATGCCACTACAAAAAAACATGATGTAAATGATGCATGATGTAAAACATGATGTAAAAAACTTGTGTAGATCCTCCTCTATGTTAGTCCATGTGTAATTTTTCCATAATTCTTTGTTTTTTGCAGCATTTTTGTTAGTGTAACTGCAGATTGTGCTGACAGTGTCTATGGCAAAAAAAAAAAAAAAAAACTGAAAATGCCTCAACATGAACCCCTGGTGGTCTCTGAGGGTGAAACCTGCTAACTGCTGCAGCTCTGTCAGCTACATCCGGTTAAATATGTCATGTGACTTGAACGCACACACACACACACACACACACACACACACACACACACACACACACACACAGACACACACACACACGCACACACACACACACTCAGAGTCTGGTTTTTAGCACCTGCAAAAACATGCTATTTACATATTTGACAAGAATGCAGAGGCTCCTTTTGCCCCTGAAAAAAATCAAATTTCAAACACAACTTGACTGGTCATTTCTCCAAAAGACAACCATGAAGCTCCATCCAAACCTGAAGCAGGCAGTTGGTGCATGTGTACAGTAACCTGAGGGGAGTGAGGTGACTGCTTCTGAGGAGAACATGAGCAGTGAAGATTCACCTTAGAGCTAGAACAGAGACGTGCACATGATTATACAGGGGCAGGGGCTCAAGTTTTTTCCAGTTGTTTTTACAATATGGGAATTAATGTGAAATTAAAAAACAAAGTATTAATAGAAAGGTAATGACTGTCCTGAGTAGGTGACAGTGATATCCAATAGGCTAGGCACTCAAGAGGCTGGCTGTGGCAAGTGTAAGTGAAAGCAACACGCACTGGCAGGAAGAACAGCAAACGCCGATGAAGGAAAAGGGTCTTTGCAGTGATGGGCGTTACCAGAGAGGGCGATGGCCAGAGGACACAAATGGGACGGGGAGGCAGCGCGTTGGGGGGGGGACGCGACACAGCTCGGGCCCGCCAGTGCCCCAACGGGGTCCTAGTTCTTTCTTTCTTTCTTTCTTAGGGCCCGAGCGTAGCTGCTAAGCAGCTGCGAGAGCCCTATTATTCCCCAAGTGGTTTTTCTTTGTTTCTTTTTTCTTTTTCCTCCCCTTTGAACTGGAAAATGGCCCACTTCCCACTGGCGAAAACTCATGAAATTTGGCAGTACGACCGGGCCTGGTGAAAAATTTGATATTCCAAAGTCGCCCAAACAAGAAAATGCAAAATGGCTCCATAGCGCCCCCTAAGGTGAAAATTCACACTATTGACTGTCACGCCTGTACGCTTTGTCAAAATGACACAAAAATTGACACACACATGTATTTCAATAAGATCTACAAAAAAGTCAGTGCGGGCGTATCTGTCAAATGTACGGTTAAAGGGTTATTTCGCATTTTTTGCCGATCCGCACACATTGGAATTTCGCTAACTCCTCCGAAGGCTTTCGTTCCACCGGCACCACATTTGCTCAGGCCAATCTACACCCCATGGCCATTAAAAGTTATTCAAATCATGACGCTGCACCCCACGGTTTAGGTTCTAGGGGGCGCCAAAGATAACCCTAAAATCCACATATTTAAAAGTCTTATAACTTTTTATTTTTGCCCTCACTGGCCTCCAAGTTATCTAGGATGATGCAATGTCCAGCCATCAACACATTTGTGAAGGAATTTTTACTCCCCAAAAGAGCGCCCCCCCATGGCAGGAGAAAAAAGTCCATTTTTTCTTGTCCCCTAAGGTGAAAATACACATTGTTGAGTGTCACGCCTGTACGCTTTGTCAAAATGACACAAAAATTGACACACACATGTATCTCAATAAGATCTACAAAAAAGTCAATGAGCGCGTATCTGTCAAATGTACGGTTAAAGGGTTATTTCGCATTTTTTGCCGATTCGCACACATTGGAATTTCGCTAACTCCTCCGAAGGCTTTCGTTCCACCGGCACCACATTTGCTCAGGCCAATTTACACCCCATGGCCATTAAAAGTTATTCAAATCATGACGCTGCACCCCACGGTTTACGTTCTAGGGGGCGCCAAAGATAACCCAAAAATCCACATTTTTAAAAGTCTTATAACTTTTTATTTTTGTCCTCACTGGCCTCCAAGTTTTCTAGGATGATGCAATGTCCAGCCATCAACACATTTGTGAAGGAATTTTTACTCCCTAAAAGAGCGCCCCCCCATGGCAGGAGAAAAAAGTCCATTTTTTCTTGTCCCCTAAGGTGAAAATACACATTGTTGACTGTCACGCCTGTACGCTTTGGCAAAATGACACAAAAATTGACAATCATGTGTATCTCAATTAGATCTACGAAAAAGTCAAAGAGCGCGTATCTGTATAATGTACGGTAAAAGGGCTATTTTGCATTTTTTGCCGATTCGCACACATTGGAATTTCGCTAACTCCTCCTAAGGCTTTCATCCCACTGACACCAAATTTGCTCAGGCCAATCTACACTCCATGGCCATTCAAAGTTGTAAAAATCATGACGCTGCACCCCACGGTTTACGTTTTAGGGGGCGCCAAAGATGACCCAAATATACATTACAGTAGACAAAGTAGTTTTGCCCACTGAGTGGCGCCAAAGGGACTTGTCTGTGGAGTCTGTGAGTCACTATTGGCCGTTTTTGACTACTTTAGATTTTACCTTTATATTTCCTCTTACAAAATTTTTACCTTGCCTTGCCTGGTATCATTTTTTTCAGCACAACCTCACCTGTGTCAATTTACAGTTATTTTATCATTTTGACATACTATATTTACACATTGGACCCAAATTCACACACAAAACATAAAATCCGAGTGGAAAAAAGTAACGTTTTTACTGTGAAAACCACAAATATGTGTGATGAACTGTTTTTAAAACTTAAACTTCAAATAAAAATTGTAAACTTCAAAACATATGCAAATTTTTAACAAAGAACATAGTAATTTACCTCTATTTACATCAAAATGCAGGCAATGGCCCAGGTGTTCTTTGTAAAATTATTTACAAAACACTGTATAGTCTCACAAATGTCACTTTTTATTTATGCCACTACAAAAAAACATGATGTAAATGATGCATGATGTAAAACATGATGTAAAAAACTTGTGTAGATCCTCCTCTATGTTAGTCCATGTGTAATTTTTCCATAATTCTTTGTTTTTTGCAGCATTTTTGTTAGTGTAACTGCAGATTGTGCTGACAGTGTCTATGGCAAAAAAAAAAAAAAAAACTGAAAATGCCTCAACATGAACCCCTGGTGGTCTCTGAGGGTGAAACCTGCTAACTGCTGCAGCTCTGTCAGCTTCAGTCTCCCATGCAGAGCTCGGAGCGCATGTGTGGCTCTGCACCCTTAGCAGCGTTGCTAACTCCTCAGTAAGGAAAGCCTGCTTCATGTCAGAGTCTCTAAACTCCAGAAGAAGTCGATAAAAGTCCCTTTCTTTCTAAAAAAAAGTCGTTAGGGGGTCTGAAAAGTCATTGAATCTAACAACAAAGTCGCTAGGTTTGCAACTACATGTCCCAGACTGCATCCCTGCTGAGAGTCCCTCCCTCCCTTCTCATATTGCAGGAAGAACGTAAGCGCCCGCCCCTTGTCAATCAGTCACCATATAATTTTGGATTGGTTGTTGTGGTGAAGTTTTCCACCAATAGGAGAGATGTTGTGGTGTGTTTTTTTTTTCCTTTGGCAAGCCTTTTCCGCCTGTAAGACCTGTCGCTAATGTCTGCATGCTATGTTTTCCTGTCTCATACAGCGCGATCGAGCGCCGAACGTGATCAAAATAAGCAGAAAACAAGTATCGCGGACATAATTTATCATAACTCTGGTTTTATTTGGCCTATCAACACAATTTAAAAACTGGTATATAGGTTGAGGTCCTCACTTTTGAGATAAGTTGAAACGGAGAGTCAACGAGGCTCCGTCTTGCAGCTACATCCGGTTAAATATGTCATGTGACTTGAACGCACACACACACACACACACACACAGACACACACACACACGCACACACACACACTCAGAGTCTGGTTTTTAGCACCTGCAAAAACATGCTATTTACATATTTGACAAGAATGCAGAGGCTCCTTTTGCCCCTGAAAAAAATCAAATTTCAAACACAACTTGACTGCTCATTTCTCCAAAAGACAACCATGAAGCTCCATCCAAACCTGAAGCAGGCAGTTGGTGCATGTGTACAGTAACCTGAGGGGAGTGAGGTGACTGCTTCTGAGGAGAACATGAGCAGTGAAGATTCACCTTAGAGCTAGAACAGAGACGTGCACATGATTATACAGGGGCAGGGGCTCAAGTTTTTTCCAGTTGTTTATACAATATGGAAATTAATGTGAAATTAAAAAACAAAGTATTAATAGAAAGGTAATGACTGTCCTGTGTAGGTGACAGTGATATCCAATAGGCTAGGCACTCACGAGGCTGGCTGTGGCAAGTGTAAGTGAAAGCAACACGCACTGGCAGGAAGAACAGCAAACGCCGATGAAGGAAAAGGGTCTTTGCAGTGATGGGCGTTACCAGAGAGGGCGATGGCCAGAGGACACAAATGGGACGGGGAGGCAGCGCGTTGGGGGGGGGACGCGACACAGCTCGGGCCCGCCAGTGCCCCAACGGGGTCCTAGTTTCTTCTTTTTCCTCCCCTTTGAACTGGAAAATGGCCCACTTCCCACTGGCGAAAACTCATGAAATTTGGCAGGACGACCGGGCCTGGTGAAAAATTCGATATTCTGAAGTCGCCCAAACAATAAAATGCAAAATGGCTCCATAGCGCCCCCTAAGGTGGAAATTCACACTATTGACTGTCACGCCTGTACGCTTTGTCATATTGACACAAAAATTGACACACATATGTATCTCAATAAGATCTACAAAAAAGTCAGTGCGGCCGTATCTGTCAAATGTACGGTTAAAGGGTTATTTCGCATTTTTTGCCGATCCGCACACATTGGAATTTCGCTAACTCCTCCGAAGGCTTTCGTTCCACCGGCACCACATTTGCTCAGGCCAATCTACACCCCGTGGCCATTAAAAGTTATCAAAATCATGACGCTGCACCCCAAGGTTTAGGTTCTAGGGGGCGCCAAAGATAACACTAAAATCCACATATTTAAAAGTCTTATAACTTTTTATTTTTGTCCTCACTGGCCTCCAAGTTTTCTAGGATGATGCAATGTCCAGCCATCAACACATTTGTGAAGGAATTTTTACTCCCCAAAAGAGCGCCCCCCCATGGCAGGAGAAAAAAGTCCATTTTTTCTTGTCCCCTAAGGTGAAAATACACATTGTTGAGTGTCACGCCTATACGCTTTGTCAAAATGACACAAAAATTGACACACACATGTAACTCAATAAGATCTACAAAAAAGTCAATGCGCGCGTATCTGTCAAATGTACAGTTAAAGGGTTATTCCGCATTTTTTGCCGATACGCACACATTGGAATTTCGCTAACTCCTCCGAAGGCTTTCGTTCCACTGGCACCACATTTGCTCAGGCCAATCTACACCCCATGGCCATTAAAAGTTATTCAAATCATGATGCTGCACCCCATGGTTTAGGTTCTAGGGGGCGCCAAAAATAACCCAAAAATCCACATTTTTAAATGTTTTATAACTTTTTATTTTTGTCCTCACTGGCCTCCAAGTTTTCTAGGATGATGCAATGTCCAGCCATCAACACATTTGTGAAGGAATTTTTACTCCCCAAAAGAGCGCCCCCCCATGGTAGGAGAAAAAAGTCAATTTTTTCTTGTCCCCTTACATGAAAATACACATTGTTGAGTGTCACACCTGAACGCTTTGTCATACTGACACAAAAATTGACAATCATGTGTATCTCAATTAGATCTACGAAAAAGTCAAAGAGCGCGTATCTTTATAATGTACGGTTAAAGGGCTATTTTGCATTTTTTGCCGATTCGCACACATTGGAATGTGGCTATCTCCTCCTAAGGCTTTCGTCCCACCGATACCAAATTTGCTCAGGGCAATCTACACCCCATGCCCATTCAAAGTTGTAAAAATCATGACGCTGCACCCCACGGTTTACGTTCTAGGGGGCGCCAAAGATGACCCAAAAATCCACATTCTTAAAAGTCATTTTGGCCACTGCAGGAGTACAGAGTACTGCAGTTCTAGGGGGCGCCAAAGATGACCCAAAAATCCACATTCTTAAAAGTCTTTTTGGCCACTGCAGGAGTACAGAGTACTGCAGGATACACACACATATACACACACGCCAACATACACACACACACACACACACACACACACACACACACAGACACACACACACACACACACTCAGAGTCTGTTTTTTAGCACCTGCAAAAACATGCTGTTTACATATTTGACAAGAATGCAGAGGCTTCCTTTTGCCCCTGAAAAAAATCAAATTTCAAACACAACTTGACTGTTCATTTCTCCAAAAGACAACCATGAAGCTCCATTTCAAACCTGAAGCAGATAGTTGGTGCATGTGTACAGTAACCTGAGGGGAGTGAGGTGACTATTTCTGAGGAGAACATGAGCAGTGAAGATTCACCTTGGAGCTAGAACAGGGACGTGCACATGATTATACAGGGGCAGGGGCTCAAGTTTTTTCCAGTCGTTTATACAATATGGAAATTAATGTGAAATTAAAACACAAAGTATTAATAGAAAGGTAATGACTGTCCTGTGTAGGTGACAGTGATATCCAATAGGCTAGGCACTCACGAGGCTGGCTGTGGCAAGTGTAAGTGAAAGCAACACGCACTGGCAGGAAGAACAGCAAACGCCGATGAAGGAAAAGGGTCTTTGCAGTGATGGGCGTTACCAGAGAGGGCGATGGCCAGAGGACACAAATGGGACGGGGAGGCAGCACGTTGGGGGGGGTGGGGGGGGTGGGGGGACGCGACACGGCTCGGGCCCGCCAGTGCCCCAACGGGGTCCTAGTCTTTGTTTCTTTTTTCTTTTTCCTCCCCTTTGAACTGGAAAATGGCCCACTTCCCACTGGCGAAAACTCATGAAATTTGGCAGGACGACCGGGCCTGGTGAAAAATTTGATATTCTGAAGTCGCCCAAACAATACAATGCAAAATGGCTCCATAGCGCCCCCTAAGGTGAAAAATTCACCTGACGCCTGTACGCTTTGTCAAAATGACACAAAAATTGACACACACATGTATCTCAATAAGATCTACAAAAAAGTCAGTGCGGGCGTATCTGTCAAATGTACGGTTAAAGGGTTATTGCGCATTTTTTGCCGATCCGCACACATTGGAATTTCGCTAACTCCTCCGAAGGCTTTCGTTCCACCGGCACCACATTTGCTCAGGCCAATCTACACCCCATGGCCATTAAAAGTTATTCAAATCATGACGCTGCACCCCACGGTTTAGGTTCTAGGGGGCGCCAAAGATAACCCTAAAATCCACATATTTCAAAGTCTTATAACTTTTTATTTTTGCCCTCACTGGCCTCCAAGTTTTCTAGGATGATGCAATGTCCAGCCATCAACACATTTGTGAAGGAATTTTTACTCCCCAAAAGAGCGCCCCCCCATGGCAGGAGAAAAAAGTCCATTTTTTCTTGTCCCATAAGGTGAAAATTCACACTATTGACTGTCACGCCTTTACGCTTTGTCAAAATTACACAAAAATTGACACACACATGTATCTCAATAAGATCTACAAAAAAGTCCATGCGCGCGTATCTGTCAAATGTACAGTTAAAGGGTTATTCCGCATTTTTTGCCGATACGCACACATTGGAATTTCGCTAACTCCTCCGAAGGCTTTCGTTCCACCGGCACCACATTTGCTCAGGCCAATCTACACCCCACGGCCATTAAAAGTTATTCAAATCATGATGCTGCACCCCATGGTTTAGGTTCTAGGGGGCGCCAAAAATAACCCAAAAATAACCCAAAAATCCACATTCTTAAATGTTTTATAACTTTTTATTTTTGTCCTCACTGGCCTCCAAGTTTTCTAGGATGATGCAATGTCCAGCCATCAACACATTTGTGAAGGAATTTTTACTCCCCAAAAGAGCGCCCCCCCATGGTAGGAGAAAAAAGTCAATTTTTTCTTGTCCCCTTACATGAAAATACACATTGTTGAGTGTCACGCCTGAACGCTTTGTCATATTGACACAAAAATTGACAATCGTGTATCTCAATTAGATCTACGAAAAAGTCAAAGAGCGCGTATCTTTATAATGTACGGTTAAAGGGCTATTTTGCATTTTTTGCCGATTCGCACACATTGGAATGTGGCTATCTCCTCCTAAGGCTTTCGTCCCACCGATACCAAATTTGCTCAGGGCAATCTACACCCCATGCCCATTCAAAGTTATAAAAATCATGACGCTGCACCCCACGGTTTACGTTCTAGGGGGCGCCAAAGATGACCCAAAAATCCACATTCTTAAAAGTCATTTTGGCCACTGCAGGAGTACAGAGTACTGCAGTTCTAGGGGGCGCCAAAGATGACCCAAAAATCCACATTCTTAAAAGTCTTTTTGGCCACTGCAGGAGTACAGAGTACTGCAGGATACACACACATATACACACACGCCAACATACACACACACACACACACACACAGACACACACACACACTCAGAGTCTGTTTTTTAGCACCTGCAAAAACATGCTGTTTACATATTTGACAAGAATGCAGAGGCTTCCTTTTGCCCCTGAAAAAAATCAAATTTCAAACACAACTTGACTGTTCATTTCTCCAAAAGACAACCATGAAGCTCCATTTCAAACCTGAAGCAGATAGTTGGTGCATGTGTACAGTAACCTGAGGGGAGTGAGGTGACTATTTCTGAGGAGAACATGAGCAGTGAAGATTCACCTTGGAGCTAGAACAGGGACGTGCACATGATTATACAGGGGCAGGGGCTCAAGTTTTTTCCAGTCATTTATACAATATGGAAATTAATGTGAAATTAAACCACAAATATGTGTGATGAACTGTTTTTAAAACTTAAACTTCAAATAAAAATTGTAAACTTCAAAACATATGCAAATTTTTAACAAAGAACATAGTAATTTACCTCTATTTACATCAAAATGCAGGCAATGGCCCAGGCGTTCTTTGTAAAATTATTTACAAAACACTGTATAGTCTCACAAATGTCACTTTTTATTTATGCCACTACAAAAAAACATGATGTAAATGATGCATGATGTAAAACATGATGTAAAAAACTTGTGTAGATCCTCCTCTATGTCAGTCCATGTGTAATTTTTCCATAATTCTTTGTTTTTTGCAGCATTTTTGTTAGTGTAGCTGCAGATTGTGCTGACAGTGTCTATGGCACAAAAAAAAAAAAAAAATTAAAATGCCTCAACATGAACCCCTGGTGGTCTCTGAGGGTGAAACCTGCTAACTGCTGCAGCTCTGTCAGCTTCAGTCTCCCATGCAGAGCTCTGAGCGCATGTGTGGCTCTGCACCCTTAGCAGCGTTGCTAACTCCTCAGTAAGGAAAGCCTGCTTCATGTCAGAGTCTCTAAACTCCAGAAGAAGTCGATAAAAGTCCCTTTCTTTCTAAAAAAAAGTCGTTAGGGGGTCTGAAAAGTCATTGAATCTAACAACAAAGTCGCTAGGTTTGCAACTACGTGTCCCAGACTGCATCCCTGCTGAGAGTCCCTCCCTCCCTTCTCATGTTGCAGGAAGAACGTAAGCGCCCGCCCCTTGTCAATCAGTCACCATATAATTTTGGATTGGTTGTTGTGGTGAAGTTTTCCACCAATAGGAGAGATGTTGTGGTGTGTTTTTTTTTTCTTTTGGCAAGCCTTTTCCGCCTGTAAGACCTGTCGCTAATGTCTGCATGCTATGTTTTCCTGTCTCATACAGCGCGATCGAGCGCCGAACGTGATCAAAATAAGCAGAAAAAAAGTATCGCGGACATAATTTATCATAACTCTGGTTTTATTTGGCCTATCAACACAATTTAAAAACTGGTATATAGGTTGAGGTCCTCACTTTTGAGATAAGTTGAAACGGAGAGTCAACGAGGCTCCGTCTTGCAGCTACATCCGGTTAAATATGTCATGTGACTTGAACGCACACACAGACACACACACACACACACACACACACACACTCAGAGTCTGGGTTTTAGCACCTGCAAAAACATGCTATTTACATATTTGACAAGAATGCAGAGGCTCCTTTTGCCCCTGAAAAAAATCAAATTTCAAACACAACTTGACTGGTCATTTCTCCAAAAGACAACCATGAAGCTCCATCCAAACCTGAAGCAGGCAGTTGGTGCATGTGTACAGTAACCTGAGGGGAGTGAGGTGAGTGCTTCTGAGGAGAACATGAGCAGTGAAGATTCACCTTGGAGCTAGAACAGAGACATGCACATGATTATACAGGGGCAGGGGCTCAAGTTTTTTCCAGTCGTTTATACAATATGGAAATTAATGTGAAATTAAAACACAAAGTATTGATAGAAAGGTAATGACTGTCCTGTGTAGGTGACAGTGATATCCAATAGGCTAGGCACTCACGAGGCTGGCTGTGGCAAGTGTAAGTGAAAGCAACACGCACTGGCAGGAAGAACAGCAAACGCCGATGAAGGAAAAGGGTCTTTGCAGTGATGGGCGTTACCAGAGAGGGCGATGGCCAGAGGACACAAATGGGACGGGGAGGCAGCACGTTGGGGGGGGGGGGGGGGGACGCGACACGGCGCGGGCCCGCCAGTGCCCCAACGGGGTCCTAGTTCTTCTTTTTCCTCCCCTTTGAACTGGAAAATGGCCCACTTCCCACTGGCGAAAACTCAGGAAATTTGGCAGGACGACCGGGCCTGGTGAAAAATTTGATATTCCGAAGTCGCCCAAACAAGAAAATGCAAAATGGCTCCATAGCGCCCCCTAAGGTGAAAATTCACACTATTGACTGTCACGCCTGTACGCTTTGTCAAAATGACACAAAAATTGACACACACATGTATCTCAATAAGATCTACAAAAAAGTCAGTGCGGGCGTATCTGTCAAATGTACGGTTAAAGGGTTATTTCGCATTTTTTGCCGATCCGCACACATTGGAATTTCGCTAACTCCTCCGAAGGCTTTCGTTCCACCGGCACCACATTTGCTCAGGCCAATCTACACCCTATGGCCATTAAAAGTTATTCAAATCATGACGCTGCACCCCACGGTTTAGGTTCTAGGGGGCGCCAAAGATAACCCTAAAATCCACATTTTTAAAAGTCTTATAACTTTTTATTTTTGCCCTCACTGGCCTCCAAGTTTTCTAGGATGATGCAATGTCCAGCCATCAACACATTTGTGAAGGAATTTTTACTCCCCAAAAGAGCGCCCCCCCATGGCAGGAGAAAAAAGTCCATTTTTTTCTTGTCCCCTAAGGTGAAAATACACATTGTTGAGTGTCACGCCTGTACACTTTGTCAAAATGACACAAAAATTGACACACACATGTATCTCAATAAGATCTACAAAAAAGTCCATGCGCGCGTATCTGTCTAATGTACGGTTAAAGGGTTATTCCGCATTTTTTGCCGATTCGCACACATTGGAATTTCGCTAACTCCTCCGAAGGCTTTCGTTCCACCGGCACCACATTTGCTCAGGCCAAATTACACCCCATGGCCATTAAAAGTTATTCAAATCATGACGCTGCACCCCACGGTTTACGTTCTAGGGGGCGCCAAAGATAACCCAAAAATCCACATTTTTAAAAGTCTTATAACTTTTTATTTTTGTCCTCACTGGCCTCCAAGTTTTCTAGGATGATGCAATGTCCAGCCATCAACACATTTGTGAAGGAATTTTTACTCCCCAAAAGAGCGCCCCCCCATGGCAGGAGAAAAAAGTCCATTTTTTCTTGTCCCCTAAGGTGAAAATACACATTGTTGACTGTCACGCCTGTACGCTTTGGCAAAATGACACAAAAATTGACAATCATGTGTATCTCAATTAGATCTACGAAAAAGTCAAAGAGCGCGTATCTGTATAATGTACGGTAAAAGGGCTATTTTGCATTTTTTGCCGATTCGCACACATTGGAATTTCGCTAACTCCTCCTAAGGCTTTCGTCCCACTGACACCAAATTTGCTCAGGCCAATCTACACCCCATGGCCATTAAAAGTTATTCAAATCATGACGCTGCACCCCACGGTTTAGGTTCTAGGGGGCGCCAAAGATAACCCTAAAATCCACATTTTTAAAAGTCTTATAACTTTTTATTTTTGTCCTCACTGGCCTCCAAGTTTTCTAGGATGATGCAATGTCCAGCCATCAACACATTTGTGAAGGAATTTTTACTCCCCAAAAGAGCGCCCCCCATGGCAGGAGAAAAAAGTCCATTTTTTTCTTGTCCCCTAAGGTGAAAATACACATTGTTGAGTGTCACGCCTGTACGCTTTGTCAAAATGACACAAAAATTGACACACACATGTATCTCAATAAGATCTACAAAAAAGTCCATGCGCGCGTATCTGTCTAATGTACGGTTAAAGGGTTATTCCGCATTTTTTGCCGATTCGCACACATTGGAATTTCGCTAACTCCTCCGAAGGCTTTCGTTCCACCAGCACCACATTTGCTCAGGCCAAATTACACCCCATGGCCATTAAAAGTTATTCAAATCATGACGCTGCACCCCACGGTTTACGTTCTAGGGGGCGCCAAAGATAACCCAAAAATCCACATTTTTAAAAGTCTTATAACTTTTTATTTTTGTCCTCACTGGCCTCCAAGTTTTCTAGGATGATGCAATGTCCAGCCATCAACACATTTGTGAAGGAATTTTTACTCCCCAAAAGAGCGCCCCCCCATGGCAGGAGAAAAAAGTCCATTTTTTCTTGTCCCCTAAGGTGAAAATACACATTGTTGACTGTCACGCCTGTACGCTTTGGCAAAATGACACAAAAATTGACAATCATGTGTATCTCAATTAGATCTACGAAAAAGTCAAAGAGCGCGTATCTGTATAATGTACGGTAAAAGGGCTATTTTGCATTTTTTGCCGATTCGCACACATTGGAATTTCGCTAACTCCTCCTAAGGCTTTCGTCCCACTGACACCAAATTTGCTCAGGCCAATCTACACTCCATGGCCATTCAAAGTTGTAAAAATCACCCCACGGTTTACGTTTTAGGGGGCGCCAAAGATGACCCAAATATACATTACAGTAGACAAAGTAGTTTTGCCCACTGAGTGGCGCCAAAGGGACTTGTCTGTGGAGTCTGTGAGTCACTATTGGCCGTTTTTGACTACTTTAGATTTTACCTTTATATTTCCTCTTACAAAATTTTTACCTTGCCTTGCCTGGTATCATTTTTTTCAGCACAACCTCACCTGTGTCAATTTACAGTTATTTTATCATTTTGACATACTATATTTACACATTGGACCCAAATTCACACACAAAACATAAAATCCGAGTGGAAAAAAGTAACGTTTTTACTGTGAAAACCACAAATATGTGTGATGAACTGTTTTTAAAACTTAAACTTCAAATAAAAATTGTAAACTTCAAAACATATGCAAATTTTTAACAAAGAACATAGTAATTTACCTCTATTGACATCAAAATGCAGGCAATGGCCCAGGTGTTCTTTGTAAAATTATTTACAAAACACTGTATAGTCTCACAAATGTCACTTTTTATTTATGCCACTACAAAAAAACATGATGTAAATGATGCATGATGTAAAACATGATGTAAAAAACTTGTGTAGATCCTCCTCTATGTTAGTCCATGTGTAATTTTTCCATAATTCTTTGTTTTTTGCAGCATTTTTGTTAGTGTAACTGCAGATTGTGCTGACAGTGTCTATGGCAAAAAAAAAAAAAAAAACTGAAAATGCCTCAACATGAACCCCTGGTGGTCTCTGAGGGTGAAACCTGCTAACTGCTGCAGCTCTGTCAGCTTCAGTCTCCCATGCAGAGCTCTGAGCGCATGTGTGGCTCTGCACCCTTAGCAGCGTTGCTAACTCCTCAGTAAGGAAAGCCTGCTTCATGTCAGAGTCTCTAAACTCCAGAAGAAGTCGATAAAAGTCACTTTCTTTCTAAAAAAAAGTCGTTAGGGGGTCTGAAAAGTCATTGAATCTAACAACAAAGTCGCTAGGTTTGCAACTACGTGTCCCAGACTGCATCCCTGCTGAGAGTCCCTCCCTCCCTTCTCATATTGCAGGAAGAACGTAAGTTCCCGCCCCTTGTCAATCAGTCACCATATAATTTTGGATTGGTTGTTGTGGTGAAGTTTTCCACCAATAGGAGAGATGTTGTGGTGTGTTTTTTTTTTTCCTTTGGCAAGCCTTTTCCGCCTGTAAGACCTGTCGCTAATGTCTGCATGCTATGTTTTCCTGTCTCATACAGCGCGATCGAGCGCCGAACGTGATCAAAATAAGCAGAAAACAAGTATCGTGGACATAATTTATCATAACTCTGGTTTTATTTGGCCTATCAACACAATTTAAAAACTGGTATATAGGTTGAGGTCCTCACTTTTGAGATAAATTGAAACGGAGAGTCAACGAGGCTCCGTCTTGCAGCTACATCCAGTTAAATATGTCATGTGACTTGAACGCACACACACACACGCACGCACGCACACACACACACACACACACACACACACACACACACACAGACACACACACACACACACACACTCAGAGTCTGGTTTTTAGCACCTGCAAAAACATGGTATTTACATATTTGACAAGAATGCAGAGGCTCCTTTTGCCCCTGAAAAAAATCATATTTCAAACACAACTTGACTGGTCTTTTCTCCAAAAGACAACCATGAAGCTCCATCCAAACCTGAAGCAGGCAGTTGGTGCATGTGTACAGTAACCTGAGGGGAGTGAGGTGACTGCTTCTGAGGAGAACATGAGCAGTGAAGATTCACCTTAGAGCTAGAACAGAGACGTGCACATGATTATACAGGGGCAGGGGCTCAAGTTTTTTCCAGTTGTTTATACAATATGGAAATTAATGTGAAATTAAAAAACAAAGTATTAATAGAAAGGTAATGACTGTCCTGTGTAGGTGACAGTGATATCCAATAGGCTAGGCACTCACGAGGCTGGCTGTGGCAAGTGTAAGTGAAAGCAACACGCACTGGCAGGAAGAACAGCAAACGCCGATGAAGGAAAAGGGTCTTTGCAGTGATGGGCGTTACCAGAGAGGGCGATGGCCAGAGGACACAAATGGGACGGGGAGGCAGCGCGTTGGGGGGGGGGACGCGACACAGCTCGGGCCCGCCAGTGCCCCAACGGGGTCCTAGTTAGGGCCCGAGCGTAGCTGCTAAGCAGCTGCGAGAGCCCTCTTGTTCCTGATGGATTCTTCTTTTGTTATTATTATTATTTTTCCTCCGCTTTAAACTGGAAAATGGCCCACTTCCCACTGGCGAAAACTCATGAAATTTGGCAGGACGACCGGGCCTGGTGAAAAATTCGATATTCTGAAGTCGCCCAAACAATAAAATGCAAAATGGCTCCATAGCGCCCCCTAAGGTGGAAATTCACACTATTGACTGTCACGTCTGTACGTTTTGTCATATTGACACAAAAATTGACACACATATGTATCTCAATAAGATCTACAAAAAAGTCAGTGCGGGCGTATCTGTCAAATGTACGGTTAAAGGGTTATTTTGCATTTTTTGCCGATCCGCACACATTGGAATTTCGCTAACTCCTCCGAAGGCTTTCGTTCCACCGGCACCACATTTGCTCAGGCCAGTCTACACCCCATGGCCATTAAAAGTTGTACAAATCATGACGCTGCACCCCACGGTTTAGGTTCTAGGGGGCGCCAAAGATAACCCAAAAATCCACATTCTTAAAAGTCTTATAACTTTTTATTTTTGTCCTCACTGCCCTCCAAGTTTTCTAGGATGATGCAATGTCCAGCCATCAACACATTTGTGAAGGAATTTTTACTCCCCAAAAGAGCGCCCCCCCATGGCAGGAGAAAAAAGTCAATTTTTTCTTGTCCCCTTACATGAAAATACACATTGTTGAGTGTCACGCCTGAACGCTTTGTCATATTGACACAAAAATTGACAATCATGTGTATCTCAATTAGATCTACGAAAAAGTCAAAGAGCGCGTATCTGTATAATGTACGGTTAAAGGGCTATTTCGCATTTTTTGCCGATTCGCACACATTGGAATGTGGCTATCTCCTCCTAAGGCTTTCGTCCCACTGATACCAAATTTGCTCAGGGCAATCTACACCCCATGCCCATTCAAAGTTGTAAAAATCATGACGCTGCACCCCACGGTTTACGTTCTAGGGGGCGCCAAAGATGACCCAAAAATCCACATTCTTAAAAGTCATTTTGGCCACTGCAGGAGTACAGAGTACTGCAGTTCTAGGGGGCGCCAAAGATGACCCAAAAATCCACATTCTTAAAAGTCTTTTTGGCCACTGCAGGAGTACAGAGTACTGCAGGATACACACACATATACACACACGCCACACACACACACACACACACACACACACACACACACACACACACACACACACACACACACACACACACACTCAGAGTCTGGTTTGTAGCACCTGCAAAAACATGCTATTTACATATTTGACAAGAATGCAGAGGCTCCTTTTGCCCCTGAAAAAAATCAAATTTCAAACACAACTTGACTGGTCATTTCTCCAAAAGACAACCATGAAGCTCCATCCAAACCTGAAGCAGGCAGTTGGTGCATGTGTACAGTAACCTGAGGGGAGTGAGGTGACTGCTTCTGAGGAGAACATGAGCAGTGAAGATTTACCTTAGAGCTAGAACAGAGACGTGCACATGATTATACAGGGGCAGGGGCTCAAGTTTTTTCCAGTCGTTTATACAATTTGGAAATTAATGTGAAATTAAAACACAAAGTATTAATAGAAAGGTAGTGACTGTCCTGTGTAGGTGACAGTGATATCCAATAGGCTAGGCACTCACGAGGCTGGCTGTGGCAAGTGTAAGTGAAAGCAACACGCACTGGCAGGAAGAACAGCAAACGCCGATGAAGGAAAAGGGTCTTTGCAGTGATGGGCGTTACCAAAGAGGGCGATGGCCAGAGGACACAAATGGGACGGGGAGGCAGCGCGTTGGGGGGGGGACGCGACACAGCTCGGGCCCGCCAGTGCCCCAACGGGGTCCTAGTTATTATTATTTTTCCTCCGCTTTAAACTGGAAAATGGCCCACTTCCCACTGGCGAAAACTCATGAAATTTGGCAGGACGACTGGGCCTGGTGAAAAATTCGATATTCTGAAGTCACCCAAACAATAAAATGCAAAATGGCTCCATAGCGCCCCCTAAGGTGAAAATTCACACTATTGACTGTCACGCCTGTACGCTTTGTCATATTGACACAAAAATTGACACACACATGTATCTCAATAAGATCTACAAAAAAGTCAGTGCGGGCGTATCTGTCAAATGTACGGTTAAAGGGTTATTTCGCATTTTTTGCCGATACGCACACATTGGAATTTCGCTAACTCCTCCGAAGGCTTTCGTTCCACCGGCACCACATTTGCTCAGGCAAATCTACACTCCATGGCCATTCAAAGTTGTACAAATCATGATGCTGCACCCCATGGTTTAGGTTCTAGGGGGCGCCAAAAATAACCCAAAAATCCACATTCTTAAAAGTTTTATAACTTTTTATTTTTGTCCTCACTGGCCTCCAAGTTTTCTAGGATGATGCAATGTCCAGCCATCAACACATTTGTGAAGGAATTTTTACTCCCCAAAAGAGCGCCCCCCCATGGTAGGAGAAAAAAGTCAATTTTTTCTTGTCCCCTTACATAAAAATACACATTGTTGAGTGTCACGCCTGAACGCTTTGTCATATTGACACAAAAATTGACAATTATGTGTATCTCAATTAGATCTACGAAAAAGTCAAAGAGCGCGTATCTGTATAATGTACGGTTAAAGGGCTATTTTGCATTTTTTGCCGATTCGCACACATTGGAATGTGGTTATCTCCTCCTAAGGCTTTCGTCCCACCGATACCAAATTTGCTCAGGGCAATCTACACCCCATGCCCATTCAAAGTTGTAAAAATCATGACGCTGCACCCCACGGTTTACGTTCTAGGGGGCGCCAAAGATGACCCAAAAATCCACATTCTTAAAAGTCATTTTGGCCACTGCAGGAGTACAGAGTACTGCAGTTCTAGGGGGCGCCAAAGATGACCCAAAAATCCACATTCTTAAAAGTCTTTTTGGCCACTGCAGGAGTACAGAGTACTGCAGGATACACACACATATACACACACGCCAACATACACACACACACACACACACACACACACACACACACACAGACACACACACACACACACTCAGAGTCTGTTTTTTAGCACCTGCAAAAACATGCTGTTTACATATTTGACAAGAATGCAGAGGCTTCCTTTTGCCCCTGAAAAAAATCAAATTTCAAACACAACTTGACTGTTCATTTCTCCAAAAGACAACCATGAAGCTCCATTTCAAACCTGAAGCAGATAGTTGGTGCATGTGTACAGTAACCTGAGGGGAGTGAGGTGACTATTTCTGAGGAGAACATGAGCAGTGAAGATTCACCTTGGAGCTAGAACAGGGACGTGCACATGATTATACAGGGGCAGGGGCTCAAGTTTTTTCCAGTCATTTATACAATATGGAAATTAATGTGAAATTAAACCACAAATATGTGTGATGAACTGTTTTTAAAACTTAAACTTCAAATAAAAATTGTAAACTTCAAAACATATGCAAATTTTTAACAAAGAACATAGTAATTTACCTCTATTTACATCAAAATGCAGGCAATGGCCCAGGCGTTCTTTGTAAAATTATTTACAAAACACTGTATAGTCTCACAAATGTCACTTTTTATTTATGCCACTACAAAAAAACATGATGTAAATGATGCATGATGTAAAACATGATGTAAAAAACTTGTGTAGATCCTCCTCTATGTCAGTCCATGTGTAATTTTTCCATAATTCTTTGTTTTTTGCAGCATTTTTGTTAGTGTAACTGCAGATTGTGCTGACAGTGTCTATGGCACAAAAAAAAAAAAAAATTAAAATGCCTCAACATGAACCCCTGGTGGTCTCTGAGGGTGAAACCTGCTAACTGCTGCAGCTCTGTCAGCTTCAGTCTCCCATGCAGAGCTCTGAGCGCATGTGTGGCTCTGCACCCTTAGCAGCGTTGCTAACTCCTCAGTAAGGAAAGCCTGCTTCATGTCAGAGTCTCTAAACTCCAGAAGAAGTCGATAAAAGTCACTTTCTTTCTAAAAAAAAGTCGTTAGGGGGTCTGAAAAGTCATTGAATCTAACAACAAAGTCGCTAGGTTTGCAACTACGTGTCCCAGACTGCATCCCTGCTGAGAGTCCCTCCCTCCCTTCTCATGTTGCAGGAAGAACGTAAGCGCACGCCCCTTGTCAATCAGTCACCATATAATTTTGGATTGGTTGTTGTGGTGAAGTTTTCCACCAATAGGAGAGATGTTGTGGTGTGTTTTTTTTTTTTCTTTTGGCAAGCCTTTTCCGCCTGTAAGACCTGTCGCTAATGTCTGCATGCTATGTTTTCCTGTCTCATACAGCGCGATCGAGCGCCGAACGTGATCAAAATAAGCAGAAAAAAAGTATCGCGGACATAATTTATCATAACTCTGGTTTTATTTGGCCTATCAACACAATTTAAAAACTGGTATATAGGTTGAGGTCCTCACTTTTGAGATAAGTTGAAACGGAGAGTCAACGAGGCTCCGGTCTTGCAGCTACATCCGGTTAAATATGTCATGTGACTTGAACGCACACACAGACACACACACACGCACACACACACACACACACACACACACACACACACACACACACACACACACACACACACACACACTCAGAGTCTGGTTTTTAGCACCTGCAAAAACAAGCTATTTACATATTTGACAAGAATGCAGAGGCTCCTTTTGCCCCTGAAAAAAATCAAATTTCAAACACAACTTGACTGGTCATTTCTCCAAAAGACAACCATGAAGCTCCATCCAAACCTGAAGCAGGCAGTTGGTGCATGTGTACAGTAACCTGAGGGGAGTGAGGTGAGTGCTTCTGAGGAGAACATGAGCAGTGAAGATTCACCTTGGAGCTAGAACAGAGACATGCACATGATTATACAGGGGCAGGGGCTCAAGTTTTTTCCAGTCGTTTATACAATATGGAAATTAATGTGAAATTAAAACACAAAGTATTAATAGAAAGGTAATGACTGTCCTGTGTAGGTGACAGTGATATCCAATAGGCTAGGCACTCACGAGGCTGGCTGTGGCAAGTGTAAGTGAAAGCAACACGCACTGGCAGGAAGAACAGCAAACGCCGATGAAGGAAAAGGGTCTTTGCAGTGATGGGCGTTACCAGAGAGGGCGATGGCCAGAGGACACAAATGGGACGGGGAGGCAGCACGTTGGGGGGGGGGACGCGACACGGCTCGGGCCCGCCAGTGCCCCAACGGGGTCCTAGTTATTATTTTTCCTCCCCTTTGAACTGGAAAATGGCCCACTTCCCACTGGCGAAAACTCATGAAATTTGGCAGGACGACCGGGCCTGGTGAAAAATTTGATATTCCGAAGTCGCCCAAACAAGAAAATGCAAAATGGCTCCATAGCGCCCCCTAAGGTGAAAATTCACACTATTGACTGTCACGCCGGTACGCTTTGTCAAAATGACACAAAAATTGACACACACATGTATCTCAATAAGATCTACAAAAAAGTCAGTGCGGGCGTATCTGTCAAATGTACGGTTAAAGGGTTATTTCGCATTTTTTGCCGATGTGCACACATTGGAATTTCGCTAACTCCTCCGAAGGCTTTCGTTCCACCGGCACCACATTTGCTCAGGCCAATCTACACCCCATGGCCATTAAAAGTTATTCAAATCATGACGCTGCACCCCACGGTTTAGGTTCTAGGGGGCGCCAAAGATAACCCTAAGATCCACATATTTAAAAGTCTTATAACTTTTTATTTTTGCCCTCACTGGCCTCCAAGTTTTCTAGGATGATGCAATGTCCAGCCATCAACACATTTGTGAAGGAATTTTTACTCCCCAAAAGAGCGCCCCCCCATGGCAGGAGAAAAAAGTCCATTTTTTCTTGTCCCCTAAGGTGAAAATACACATTGTTGAGTGTAACACCTGTACGCTTTGGCAAAATGACACAAAAATTGACACACACATGTATCTCAATAAGATCTACGAAAAAGTCAATGCGCGCGTATCTGTCAAATGTACGGTTAAAGGGTTATTCCGCATTTTTTGCCGATCCGCACACATTGGAATTTCGCTAACTCCTCCGAAGGCTTTCAGTCCACCGGCACCACATTTGCTCAGGCCAATCTACACCCCATGGCCATTAAAAGTTATTCAAATCATGATGCTGCACCCCACGGTTTAGGTTCTAGGGGGAGCCAAAGATAACCGTAAAATCCACATATTTAAAAGTCTTATAACTTTTTATTTTTGTCCCCACTGGCCTCCAAGTTTTCTAGGATGATGCAATGTCCAGCCATCAACACATTTGTGAAGGAATTTTTACTCGGCAAAAGAGCGCCCCCCCATGGCAGGAGAAAAAAGTCAATTTTTTCTTGTCCACTAAGGTGAAAATACACATTGTTGAGTGCTACGCCTGTATGTTTAGCGTATTGACACAAAATTTTACATACACGTGTATTTACATAATATCTTCGAAAAAGTCAATGGCCACGTATCTGTAAAATGTACGGTTAAAGGGTTATTTCGCATTTTTTGCAGATTCGCACACATTGGAATTTTGCTAATTCCTCCGAAGGCTTTCGTTCCACCGGCACCACATTTGCTCAGGCCAATCTACACCCCATGGCCATTAAAAGTTATTCAAATCATGACGCTGCACCCCACGGTTTAGGTTCTAGGGGGCGCCAAATATAACCCTAAAATCCACATATTTAAAAGTCTTATAACTTTTTATTTTTGTCCTCACTGGCCTCCATGTTTTCTAGGATGATGCAATGTCCAGCCATCAACACATTTGTGAAGGAGTTTTTTCTCTTTAAAAGAGCGCCCCCCCATGGCAGGAGAATAAAGTCAAGTTTTTCCTGTTCATCATTCAATGGCTCAAACGCACTGCTCTCTCGGCAAAAGCGAAAGGAGGAGCAACTTGCCATTTGGATATATCTTAGCTGTGTTTGTGCCCTCACTCATGGTCCAGACTTTTTTCAAATAGGACATTGAGTTTTTCTGCAGCGAGCGTTTTGGTAGAAACTGCGCCTCCCGTTCATTATAATGGTAAATGACCACAAACAAGTGCGCACACCATCTTTGGACCTTGAGTGTGACGCGATCGGGTGGGGGAGGCGGTCGCGCTGGGGGCGGCGTGACACGGCTCGGGCCCGCCAGTGCCCCAACGGGGCCCTAGTTTCTTTCTTTCTTTCTTCTTTTTCCTCCCCTTTGAACTGGAAAATGGCCCACTTCCCACTGGCGAAAACTCATGAAATTTGGCAGGACGACCGGGCCTGGTGAAAAATTCGATATTCTGAAGTCGCCCAAACAATAAAATGCAAAATGGCTCCATAGCGCCCCCTAAGGTGGAAATTCACACTATTGACTGTCACGCCTGTACGCTTTGTCATATTGACACAAAAATTGACACACATATGTATCTCAATAAGATCTACAAAAAAGTCAGTGCGGCCGTATCTGTCAAAATTACGGTTAAAGGGTTATTTCGCATTTTTTGCCGATCCGCACACATTGGAATTTCGCTAACTCCTCCGAAGGCTTTCGTTCCACCGGCACCACATTTGCTCAGGCCAATCTACACCCCGTGGCCATTAAAAGTTATCAAAATCATGACGCTGCACCCCAAGGTTTAGGTTCTAGGGGGCGCCAAAGATAACACTAAAATCCACATATTTAAAAGTCTTATAACTTTTTATTTTTGTCCTCACTGGCCTCCAAGTTTTCTAGGATGATGCAATGTCCAGCCATCAACACATTTGTGAAGGAATTTTTACTCCCCAAAAGAGCGCCCCCCCATGGCAGGAGAAAAAAGTCAATTTTTTCTTGTCCCCTAAGGTGAAAATACACATTGTTGAGTGTCACGCCTATACGCTTTGTCAAAATGACACAAAAATTGACACACACATGTAACTCAATAAGATCTACGAAAAAGTCAATGCGCGCGTATCTGTCAAATGTACGGTTAAAGGGTTATTCCACATTTTTTGCCGATCCGCACACATTGGAATGTGGCTAACTCCTCCTAAGGCTTTCGTTCCACCGGCACCACATTTGCTCAGGCCAATCTACACCCCATGGCCATTAAAAGTTATCAAAATCATGACGCTGCACCCCACGGTTTAGGTTCTAGGGGGCGCCAAAGATAACCCTAAAATCCACATATTTAAAAGTCTTATAACTTTTTATTTTTGTCCTCACTGGCCTCCAAGTTTTCTAGGATGATGCAATGTCCAGCCATCAACACATTTGTGAAGGAATTTTTACTCCCCAAAAGAGCGCCCCCCCCCATGGCAGGAGAAAAAAGTCAATTTTTTCTTGTCCCTTAAGGTGAAAATACATATTGTTGAGATTCACGCCTATACGCTTTGTCATATTGACACAAAATTTGACAATCACGTGCCTTGCCTGGTATCATTTTTTTCAGCACAACCTCACCTGTGCGAATTTACAGTTATTTTATCATGTTGACATACTGAATTTACACAATGGACCCAAATTCACACACAAAACATAAAATCCGAGTGGAAAAAAGTAACATTTTTACTGTGAAAACCACAAATATGTGTGATGAACTGTTTTTAAAACTTAAACTTCAAATAAAAATTGTAAACTTCAAAACATATGCAAATTTTTAACAAAGAACATAGTGATTTACCTCTATTTACATCAAAATGCAGGCAATGGCCCAGGCGTTCTTTGTAAAATTATTTACAAAACACTGTATAGTCTCACAAATGTCACTTTTTATTTATGCCACTACAAAAAAACATGATGTAAATGATGCATGATGTAAAACATGATGTAAAATACTTGTGTAGATCCTCCTCTATGTCAGTCCATGTGTAATTTTTCCACAATTCTTTGTTTTTTGCAGCATTTTTGTTAGTGTAACTGCAGATTGTGCTGACAGTGTCTATGGCACAAAAAAAAAAAAAAAAAAAATGCCTCAACATGAACCCCTGGTGGTCTCTGAGGGTGAAACCTGCTAACTGCTGCAGCTCTGTCAGCTTCAGTCTCCCATGCAGAGCTCTGAGCGCATGTGTGGCTCTGCACCCTTAGCAGCGTTGCTAACTCCTCAGTAAGGAAAGCCTGCTTCATGTCAGAGTCTCTAAACTCCAGAAGAAGTAGATAAAAGTCCCTTTCTTTCTAAAAAAAAGTCGTTAGGGGGTCTGAAAAGTCATTGAATCTAACAACAAAGTCGCTAGGTTTGCAACTACGTGTCCCAGACTGCATCCCTGCTGAGAGTCCCTCCCTCCCTTCTCATGTTGCAGGAAGAACGTAAGCACCCGCCCCTTGTCAATCAGTCACCATATAATTTTGGATTGGTTGTTGTGGTGAAGTTTTCCACCAATAGGAGAGATGTTGTGGTGTGTTTTTTTTTTCTTTTGGCAAGCCTTTTCCGCCTGTAAGACCTGTCGCTAATGTCTGCATGCTATGTTTTCCTGTCTCATACAGCGCGATCGAGCGCCGAACGTGATCAAAATAAGCAGAAAAAAAGTATCGCGGACATAATTTATCATAACTCTGGTTTTATTTGGCCTATCAACACAATTTAAAAACTGGTATATAGGTTGAGGTCCTCACTTTTGAGATAAGTTGAAACGGAGAGTCAACGAGGCTCCGTCTTGCAGCTACATCCGGTTAAATATGTCATGTGACTTGAACGCACACACAGACACACACACACGCACACACACACACACACACACACACACACACACACACTCAGAGTCTGGTTTTTAGCACCTGCAAAAACATGCTATTTACATATTTGACAAGAATGCAGAGGCTCCTTTTGCCCCTGAAAAAAATCATATTTCAAACACAATTTGACTGGTCATTTCTCCAAAAGACAACCATGAAGCTCCATCCAAACCTGAAGCAGGCAGTTGGTGCATGTGTACAGTAACCTGAGGGGAGTGAGGTGAGTGCTTCTGAGGAGAACATGAGCAGTGAAGATTCACCTTGGAGCTAGAACAGAGACATGCACATGATTATACAGGGGCAGGGGCTCAAGTTTTTTCCAGTCGTTTATACAATATGGAAATTAATGTGAAATTAAAACACAAAGTATTAATAGAAAGGTAATGACTGTCCTGTGTAGGTGACAGTGATATCCAATAGGCTAGGCACTCACGAGGCTGGCTGTGGCAAGTGTAAGTGAAAGCAACACGCACTGGCAGGAAGAACAGCAAACGCCGATGAAGGAAAAGGGTCTTTGCAGTGATGGGCGTTACCAGAGAGGGCGATGGCCAGAGGACACAAATGGGACGGGGAGGCAGCACGTTGGGGGGGGGGGGACGCGACACGGCTCGGGCCCGCCAGTGCCCCAACGGGGTCCTAGTTAGGGCCCGAGCGTAGCTGCTAAGCAGCTGCGAGAGCCCTCTTGTTCCTGTAGTTTCCTTCTTTTGTTATTATTATTATTATTATTTTTCCTCCCCTTTGAACTGGAAAATGGCCCACTTCCCACTGGCGAAAACTCATGAAATTTGGCAGGACGACCGGGCCTGGTGAAAAATTTGATATTCCGAAGTCGCCCAAACCAGAAAATGCAAAATGGCTCCATAGCGCCCCCTAAGGTGAAAATTCACACTATTCACTGTCACGCCTGTACGCTTTGTCAAAATGACACAAAAATTGACACACACATGTATCTCAATAAGATCTACAAAAAAGTCAGTGCGGGCGTATCTGTCAAATGTACGGTTAAAGGGTTATTTCGCATTTTTTGCCGATCCGCACGCATTGGAATTTCGCTAACTCCTCCGAAGGCTTTCGTTCCACCGGCACCACATTTGCTCAGGCCAATCTACACCCCATGGCCATTAAAAGTTATTCAAATCATGACGCTGCACCCCACGGTTTAGGTTCTAGGGGGCGCCAAAGATAACCCTAAGATCCACATATTTAAAAGTCTTATAACTTTTTATTTTTGCCCTCACTGGCCTCCAAGTTTTCTAGGATGATGCAATGTCCAGCCATCAACACATTTGTGAAGGAATTTTTACTCCCCAAAAGAGCGCCCCCCCATGGCAGGAGAAAAAAGTCCATTTTTTCTTGTCCCATAAGGTGAAAATACACATTGTTGACTGTCATACCTGTACGCTTTGGCAAAATGACACCAAAATTGAGACACACATGTATCTCAATAAGATCTACAAAAAAGTCAATGCGCACGTATCTGTCAAATGTACGGTTAAAGGGTTATTCCGCATTTTTTGCCGATCCGCACACATTGGAATTTCGCTAACTCCTCCGAAGGCTTTCGTTCCACCGGCACCACATTTTCTCAGGCCAATCTACACCCCATGGCCATTAAAAGTTATTCAAATCATGACGCTGCACCCCACGGTTTAGGTTCTAGGGGGCGCCAAAGATAACCGTAAAATCCACATATTTAAAAGTCTTATAACTTTTTATTTTTGCCCTCACTGGCCTCCAAGTTTTCTAGGATGATGCAATGTCCAGCCATCAACACATTTGTGAAGGAATTTTTACTCCCCAAAAGAGCGCCCCCCCATGGCAGGAGAAAAAAGTCCATTTTTTCTTGTCCCATAAGGTGAAAATACACATTGTTGACTGTCATACCTGTATGCTTTGTCATATTGACACAAAATTTGACACACACATGTATCTCAATAAGATCTACGAAAAAGTCAATGCGCGCGTATCTGTAAAATGTACGGTTAAAGGGCTATTTTGCATTTTTTGCCGATTAGCACACATTGGAATGTGGCTAACTCCTCCTAAGGCTTTCGTCCCACTGACACCAAATTTGCTCAGGCCAATCTACACCCCATGGCCATTAAAAGTTATTCAAATCATGACGCTGCACCCCAAGGTTTAGGTTCTAGGGGGCGCCAAAGATAACCGTAAGATCCACATATTTAAAAGTCTTATAACTTTTTATTTTTGCCCTCACTGGCCTCCAAGTTTTCTAGGATGATGCAATGTCCAGCCATCAACACATTTGTGAAGGAATTTTTACTCCCCAAAAGAGCGCCCCCCCATGGCAGGAGAAAAAAGTCAATTTTTTCTTGTCCCCTAAGGTGAAAATACACATTGTTGAGTGTAACACCTGTACTCTTTGGCAAAATGACACAAAAATTGACACACACATGTATCTCAATAAGATCTACGAAAAAGTCAATGCGCGCGTATCTGTCAAATGTACGGTTAAAGGGCTATTTTGCATTTTTTGCCAATTCGCACACATTGGAATGTGGCTAACTCCTCCTAAGGCTTTCGTCCCACTGACACCAAATTTGCTCAGGCCAATCTACACCCCATGGCCATTCAAAGTTGTAAAAATCATGACGCTGCACCCCACGGTTTACGTTCTAGGGGGCGCCAAAGATGACCCAAAAATCCACATTCTTAAAAGAATCCACATCCCCCCCCCTATGGCAGGAGAAAAAGTCAAGTTTTTCCTGCCCATCGCTCAATGGCTCAATCGCATCGCTCTCCAGGCAACATCGTAAGGAGGAGCAACCTGGCATTTCGATATATCATAGCTGTGTTTGTGCCCTCACTCATGGTCCAGACTTTTTTCAAATAGGACATGAAGTTTGTCTGCAGCGAGTGTTTTGGTAGAAACTGCGCCTCCCATTCATTATAATGGGAAATGACCACAGACAAGTGCGCACACCATCTTTGGTTCTTGAGTGTGACTCGATCGGTACGGGGAGGCGGTCGCACTGGGGGCGGCGCGACGCGGCTCGGGCCCGACAGTGCCCCACCGGGGCCCTAGTGATTTATTTGCTGCTGCCTTCCATGCCTCGGCTTTCATGTAGCACATGAAAGCTGGGAGGGTTGCCTTGTATGGTTGTTTTGGGGGATTTTAATTTATCTATCTTAATCTTATTTATTTGCTGCTGTTTTCTCTGTCTTGGCTTTTCATGTATGCATATAAAAGGGAGGGGAGGAGCTCCCCCCCTTACAGCCATGGCATTCCATGCAAGCGCATGGAAGGGCAGAGAACTCTCAGAACAGAGCCATACCGCCAATGTAAAATGTTTGCTTGTAATTGAAGTGAGGTGATGTCAGTTGCATGTTAACATGAGCTGAGTATAAGCTAAATTAGGAAATAAGAACAGGGACCCTTATAATTTATTTTCATTTATTAATATTCATTTTCCCTGGTTTCACTTTTATGATTTTACAGTAGTTTCCGTTTCAAAGGTATCTATTCCATATCCATCCACTAGATGGTGCAGTGGCGCTGGTGGCATAGAGTAGCGTTATAGCACAGAGGGAGAATAAATCTTCCTTCTGAGATGATAACAGCAGCTCAACGCGTGTCTCTTCTATTCTAGCCACAGGTTAGTAAAATGTACCTTAAAAGTCAAACAGTGACTCTTATACATCTTAGAACATCAGCACTTAATACTGTCTGTTTGCACGAGTGGTTGAACGAGATCGTGTAGTAGTATGAGTGAGTAAAGTGAGTGTGTAAACGAACTTAAAATTGGATCGCTAACCATGCTAATGCTAGCAGATTTTACAGTGAGAAACTTAGAAACTACTGAACTTTCTGTTGAACTTAATTCCCTGACATGTTAAGGACATTTCCTCATGCATGTTTAGTTTCTGGTCAGTAGATTTGATTTAATCTGTTTAAGGTTCAATGCCACAACCAGTAATGTTTTCATGTCGTGATTCTGTGATTCCATTTTGTGACTGGTGGCACAGTGCACATATGTCACTGATGCCTTGCAGGCAGGCAGGTTTCCACAGTGTCAGGCACATTTCAGTGAAACACATAATCAACAACAACCAATATTTAGTACAACTATCTGAGTCAGCACATACATTTAGATCTATATAGATATGTTCTGATCTATATCCTATATTCCTCTTTTTTCTTGCACAGTTCGACTCGGTCATGTCTCCGTGTGCTGCGGATGGATGGATGGATGGATGGATGGATAGATAGATAGATAGATAGATAGATAGATAGACTTTATTGATCCCAAACTGGGAAATTCACGTTACAGCAGCAAAAAAATACAAAATAAAATTAAATATAAGAAGTACAATGCAGACTAAAAATACTACAAATACTAGGTATATACAATAAATACAGACTAAATATACTAAACATCCTAAGAGAAAAAAGTAAGATATGAAGAACGTGGGCTATTAAAAAGAGTAATAAATATGAAATGCGAAAAATACAGATGGGATGATAAATAAACAGACAAATTAAGGTGCTCAGTAATATGATGTGGTAGGAG